TCATCTCAATCTCACCTCTGTCAGGTTAAAACCACTTGTTCTGTCCCTACCTGCTCTTGTCAAAAGGCCCTCTCCAGCTTTCTTGTCACAGCCCCTCTAAGCACTGGAAGCTGCTCTAAGGTCTTCTAGAAGCCTTCTCTTCTCTAGGCTGAACAAGCCCAGCTTCTCAGCCTGTCTGCCGAGCAGAAGTGCTCCAGCCCTCAGAGCATCTTCACGGTCTCCTCTGGACTCACTCCATCAGCTTCACATCCCTCTTGGGTTGGGGGCCCCAGAGCTGGACAAAGAACTGCAGGGAGGGTGGGGTAGGGGGTTGTTTCACTAGAGCAGAGAGGGAGAAAGATATTCCAAGTATTCTGGAAGAGCCCCCCCAAAAAGTCAACCAGGATAGGTTGGTATTTTAATAGAGAAATAGGTCATCTTCTCATTTGTTTTTAAAATGCAGACACATGGAACATTAACTACAGACCTGGGTTGGGGACTCCAGATTTCATATTTGTATTATCTGAACAAGCATTTAAAAGTTTGGGCAGGAAGTTCTGTAAGTAAACATTCACAATTAAAGTACCTTTGTTCCCTGCATCTTCTATAATTTGGTAAACCAGCTTCTCTTGATTGTCAGAGCCTTTCATTTTACTGCAAAATAAGACAGATATCAGGGTTTTTGAAAGGCTCAAAATTCAAAAGCTGAATTTGTTTTAAACTGCAAACAAGTACTATGAAAAGAACCAACACACAAAATAGAACCTCTACACAATAAGCCAGCCATTGGCCAATATAATACATGACACTAAACCTCTCTGGATCCAGTCAAGCTTGCCAGTGAGAAGCCACAATAAAGAGAAAAGAGCACAGTATGAAGGAAAAGCTGCAAAGAGGGAGTTACTCAATGTGTCATCACAATAGGGAATCTGGGTCACGTACTAACTCAGCTAGGGAAGGCCGAACACAGCACAGAGCATAATTTAGGATAATCTGTCTCTAGACAGAGCATCTTCAAAAGAATAGTAGCATGCTCCCAACTCTCAGACATGTCTTTTCACTTGTCTGAGAAAGCCTGAACTTGACAGTCTTCTTCTAAAGCATCTGAAAAAGAAGATGAAATGCCTGCACTGAGGATAATTTGAAAGGATGCCTCTGCATCTCTCACTCAGACTTACACAGGCATCACAAAACATGATTTGAAGGTACACTTTAGTAAACCAAAGCGATCGGGTGCCCCCCTGGAACAGCTGTAAAGGTGATTGCTGATCCTGAAACACGAGCAGTGAGGAAGACCACAGAACCCCAGACTCCGGAGGGTTTGGTCAGGCTTCAGCTGGCTTTCACCTGAGTATATACATACATTTGCACAGATCACTTTGTAATCATCTGGACTAGGAACTCTGCTAGGAAGTTACAGCTCTGTTCAATAGAAACCACTACATCCAAAACAATTGTCAGGATCAGCTCAGGGGATTTAAATGTACCTCCTGAAACAAGCAGTTATGTCTTATAACATCCATGTTACAGAATCCATATTACGCTGCTGTGTCTCCTCAGCAAGGCTGCACACGACTTGCAGAACGGTGTCCCAGATATATTTATCCAGCAAATAAGAGGCTTACCTTGCATTTTGAGAGTCTTTGATTCTGTACAGGAGACCTGCATTGCTTCTGAGAAGATCCAGTTGCCCCTAGGAGAGGTGGGCACATGCATTTATTTTCCTTCAAATAGCTTGCTTCAGAACCTGGCAAGAATCTTCTAAACTTCCAAAATAAAAATCTTACTTCATGTCAGTTGGCTAAAGGTAGAACTAACATTTCTAACGCTGGAAACAATAATACCCTTGAGAATAGAGAATATCCCCCCCCCCCCCCCCCCCCCGATAAATAACCAGGAAAAAAAAACAAATAAGCCAATGTACTTCTCAATAGTAACTTCCTCACCTAGAAATCCACATGGATATACATGTTCATGTTAATTTCGTAAGCTAAGTTTTCATTTGCTTTGGCAGTAAGTGCTCATGGCAACCAAAAGTAAGGATGGTAGCTGTGTATTATGGCAAATGATGCTAAATCCAAAGGGATTCATTTGCTAGCCCTGCCCAACAGGCTGCTACCAAGCAGACTGGGTGTATGAAGAGTGCTCTGGGTTGGCTGAAATAACAGGAAGGTGAGATCTCCCTACCATTGAGAGCAGCCTGTTGATCGCCATGGCTCGCTGCTGGGCTTCCATGTGAGGCATATCATTTTGAATCACCTGGTCTGTGATACCATGAGGGAACTGATGACACAGCTCAATAATCCTAAGGGAGGAGAAAAGCTAGCTTAAAATCATGTTCTATGGCATCCAAAACCAAATCCAAATGGTACTGCAGTCAGAATAGAAGACAGGAAAAAGAACAACTTAGAGAAAAAGCACTCATGAATCACTTCTTAGAATCCCAGACTGGTTTGGGTTGGAAGGGACCTTAAAGCTCATTCAGTTCCAACCCCCTGCCACTAGACCAGGTTGCTCCAAGCCCCTGTGTCCAACCTGGCCTTGAACACTGCCAGGGATGGGGCAGCCACAGCTTCTCTGGGCACCCTGTGCCAGGGCCTCAGCACCCTCACAGGGAAGAATTTCTGCCTAATGTCTCATCTCAATATCCTTCTGTCAGCTTAAAACCATTCCCTGTCCTATGACTACATTCCTGGTCACATCTATTGAGAGAACTTGACATCTTTTGAGAGAACTTGATATCTATTTGCCGTGCTGACAAACACACTGCTGCACCTGCTGGACAAACTGCTTTTCCTCTGTGACAACACTGAAAACGGTGCTCCACTTTACTTTGACGTTGGTCCCATTATTAACACCACAGACTTAAAGATCCCTCTACAGCTTCTCTATACAAAAGGCTCTGATAGGAAGTACGATACTAGCATGAGAGAAAGCAAATACTGATGAAATACCTTGTAGAAGAACGCAGAAAGGCCACAATCCCCCCTTCCCGGAACAGAAAACCTCCAGAGCAGCCGAAAGTGTGACTAGAACTAACCCCCACTGCCACCCAAGCACCTCTCTGCCCTGACACAACACACGCTGCCCCCAACAGCACCGCGTCTCTCCTCCAGACCTATTTCCTGGCGTCCCCCTCACCTCCCTGCCAGCCTCCGCACACCCCCAGCGCGTCCCGCCGCTTCCCGGCCCTCCTACCCCCGCTGCCTGAGCATTCCCCGCCCCGCACCTGCTCTCGATATCCACGGGGTCGGGCACCTCCGGCTTCACCTTCACCTCCGCCATGGCGCGGCCGGGCCGGGCCGCGCCGCCAGCCGCGACAGCACCACCGGGAGGCGCGGGAAGTTGGCGTCAGAGCCGGCGCGACGTAAAGAAGAGCGGGCGGGCTGGTTGCTAAGGAGCGGGACGCTAACCAATGGGCGGCCGCGCTGGCGGGGCCAGGGGAGGGGCCAAGCGAGAGGCGTCTGTGGTAACGGGGAGCGGGGCGGGGGTCGAGGGGAGGATCCCGCGGGGTGAGCGCGGCTGTAGGGAGGCATCGAGTGGGGTGGAGAGGGCTGTGGGGTGGGATCGAGAGGGTTGTGGGGTGGAATAGAATGGGGTGGAGAGGGCTGTGGGGTGGGATCGAGTGGGGTGGAGAGGGTTGTGGGGTGGAATAGAATGAGGTGGAGAGGGCTGTGGGATGGGATCGAGTGGGGTGGACGGGGCTGTGGGGTGGGATCGAGTGGGGTGGAGAGGGCTGTGGGTGGGATAGAATGGGGTGGACGGGGCTGTGGGATGGGATCGAGTGGCGTGGAGGGCACTGTGGGGTGGGATCGAGTGGGGTGGACGGGACTGTGGGGTGGGATCGAGTGGGGTGGACGGGACTGTGGGGTGGGATCGAGTGGGGTGGAGAGGGCTGTGGGGTGGGATCAAGTGGCGTGGAGAGGGCTGTGGGGTGGGATTGAATGGGGTGGACGGGGCTGTGGGATGGGATCGAGTGGGGTGGACGGGGATGTGGGCAGGATCGAGTGGCGTGGACGGGACTGTGGGGTGGGATCGAGTGGGGTGGACGGGACTGTGGGATGGGATCGAGTGGGGTGGAGAGGGCTGTGGGGTGGGATCAAGTGGCGTGGAGAGGGCTGTGGGGTGGGATTGAATGGGGTGGACGGGGCTGTGGGGTGGGATCGACAAGGGGCTCAGTAGCAGGGGTCAAGTAGTCTGGGCAAGGCTGTGGGGTGGAGTGGGATCAATTGGGGTGGGCAAGGCTGTGGCCAGGACTGAGCAGGGGCTTGGTAGCAGGCGTCAAGTGGCATGGTCAAGGCTGTGGGATGGAGAAGAGAAGGCTGCGTGGAGACCTCATAGCAGCCTTCCAGTACCTGAAGGGGGCCTATAGGGATGCTGGGGAGGGACTCTTCATTAGGGACTGTAGTGATAGGACAAGGGGTAGCGGGTTCAAACTTAAACAGGGGAAGTTTAGATTGGATATAAGGGAGAAGATCTTTAAGCATGATGAGGCACTGGAATGGGTTGCCCAAGGAAGTTGTGAATGCTCCATCCCTGGTGGTGTTCAAGGCCAGGTTGGACAGAGCCTTGGGTGACATGGTTTAGTGTGAGGTGTCCCTGCCCATGGCAGGGGGGCTGGAACTGGATGATCTTAAGGTCCTTTCCAACCCTAACTATTCTGTGATTCTGTAGGATTAAGTGGGGTGCTCAGGGCTGTAAGACAGGATCAAGTGGGGTGGCCCAGATGCTGTATAGCAGGGACAGAGTAGGGTAAGGTGGGGTGGGCTGTGTAGGGGTACGGGAAGTAGGGCCTGACCCAGCAGACAGGGATGGAGCCCAGGCCAGGGCACGGGCTGGGCATGCTGGGGATGGCGGCAGGACCATTGTGTCCCACCAGTAGTGGGCTTCCAGAAGGCTGAAATGAGGTCCTGTGCTTTTGGTCCAGGTGTCACAAGAGCAGGCGGGCCCTTGAGGAAAGATACTCTCTGCCCCTTTGCATCAGGTAAAAACCCATTGTTTCTCCCCTGCTACTGCATGCAGCCCAAGAAAGTTTAACTGAGAACTGCCACAGTCCTTAACTACTGTTTCGGGCAAGCTAGCCAAAGAAATGAGCACCCACGGACAGCACTGTGGCCTACATCAGCATAGCCACAGAGCATGGACTAACAAACTCCTCCTGTGCTGAATCATTACTGTCTGCATTGATGAATAGCGTTAAGAGATGTTTCTGGTGGATTAAAGAGTTGGTTACAGAACAAAATGCTTCTAGTGTAGACATGTTTCCTGGCCCTGAGTATCAGTTCCCAAGATCTAGAGTACATCTTTTTGTACTGTAAAATGTTATCGTATCCAAATGCAATTTTTCATTCTTAAATTGTGTGACATGATAATGACTATGTAAATTATGATAAATCATGTTTGGCACCTGTTTTATGGGTATATTCTTAGTGCACACAATAGCTGAGATAAGCTTAAGCAGTAGCTGTCTTGCTTTAGCCCTTTTTAAGACATCATTGCAGATGGCTGCAGTGAAACAAGAGGCTGGCTCCAATCTGCCATTAGGGTGGAGATACTTCCCTGTTACTCAGTCCTACCATGTATCGTTGATGTATGATGATAAAGCTGTTTCAATGGAATACATAGAAATCAGGCTTGGACAAGGAAGGTTAAAGTGAAATGAATGCAACAGTGCTCATCTCAAGCTTTGTTCACAGTTCTAAAACAGGAGAATAAATTAGAATTGGGATGGTTGTTAGGACCTTGCTCCTTTTCGATGTGAAGATCATGCAAGTATTGATAAGAAATAAGAGTTTAAAGAATCCAGTGTTCTCTCTTTTAAAAGAAACAAATGAAGACAGGAATCACATTCAAAGTATCTCTTAAAGGATTCTTCTGTTTAGAAAAATTGTTGTCTGCCTTTTTGTTTTTCTTCTCAAAGATCACTGTGGAGAAAAATGACAGCTGGCTCTGTCTCAGTTCCTCAGGTCATACCACTTCGAATCCCTCTTCCAGGAAAGGCTAAACATGAAATAGACACAAATACTCTTGTAGAAATAAAATCAGGTATGAATAAAAGCTCTGACTCCAGGTGAAAGCTTCTCTTAATGTGTTCATTTGAAAATTTTAGCCTCTATATTTTTGTTTGCATTTAAGGATTATTTTTATGTGGGAGCATTTCGTTAAGGAACTTACAAAATTAACTAATATGTTTTGATACATCAAATAAACTTAATTTTATGCATTCAAACTATTACTGACATATGAGTTATTTCATATACGTTAGCAGTCTTAATTGCTTCCAAGGTCAGGCTCTTAAGCTGTTGCATTTTGCTTTGACTGCAAAAACAGTGTGTGAAAGTGTCACATGCCAGGCTCACCCCATAGGTTTTCCTTCCAATTTTTGAAATGTCACCTTTTACCATGTGAGCAAATATCTTTTCTGTCATCAGAACAGACAAATTTGTGCAATATTTTCATGCAAAGCCATTGCACAGCTACTTTGTGAAGAGAAATACTTGTTGAGTAACACATTTTTTTCATGGAATAAACAGTTTTGGTCCCAAGCATTCAGACATTTATGGAAGTTGTTTATTTTTTTATGTGAGAAAAATCAAGCCCAGAAGTGAGTACTGTGAAGTGTAGAGCTTGTTTTTCACAGGTTGAGTATAGTTTGACTAATTACTTTCTCTGTGTCTTTCAGATACACCTGAGGTCTCTATTTATTACACTTTAGATGGAAGTAAGCCAGAACTCTTTAGAAAACCTGGCTGTGGAGAGCATAACACTTTTAGATATAAGGGTCCTATCATGTTACCAGCTGGGAAAATAATGGTCAAAGCACTTGCAGTTACAAAGTATGTGTCCTGTTTTATTTCAGTTGTATGTTGGCAAGGGACAGACATCCTAGTCATGGTCTCGATTTGCGTTGTTTAAAGTATTCCATACCTCGTAAACGCCCCTTTCCCCAGCCAGTCTGCAATCAAAGTGATTTGCATGGGTTGCACTGACTTCACTTTTTCATTCACTTTATCAGGTGTTTGTGCAGTTGGATTATCATAGAATGGTTTGGGTTGGAAGGGACCTTAAAGCTCATCCAGTTCCAGCCCCCTTACACTAGAGCAGGTTGCTCCAAGCCCCGTCCAACCTGGCCTTGAACACTGCCAGCAATGGGGCAGCCACAGCTTCTCTGGGCAACCTGTGCCAGGGCCTCAGCACCCTCAGAGGGAAGAACTTCTTCCTAATGTCTCATCTAAATCTCCCGTCAGGTTAAAGCCGTTCCCCCTTGTTCTGTCCTGGCAGGTATTATGAAAGGGAAAAAAAAGTCTTGCTCTCCTCTATTTTCTGCAACACGGGCAAACACTATCACTCCAGAAAGCAGACACGGGAATATCAAGAGTTTTATGTGTAAAAGATGTTGAGGGATTAAAGTATCTGTATGTTTTATTGGTAACTTTTTATCATGTATGTTCTAAACTGAAAACAAAACAAAACAAAGGAGCAGTTCATGAGAGTGTTGCCCAGGATTATAGTTACCAACTTGTAAGCTTGGAAGGGCTCTTCCAGCAAATGAGCCATGTCCATCAGTGATTCACTCGTTGCTGCACATGGATTTGTGAGATGTCTATAGCTTTGTGAAAATTGATTTTCAGGGACTGCAGGGAGAGTACAGTTGTAACAAAGGTGTTTCTGGTAGAGTACAAACAACCAAATGCCCTTTCCTCTGTTGAAGAGGATGACAAGAATCTCCTAAAAGATATCACCACTCAGGTAAGTTTTAGAAGTTGTAACCCTTTGTGTGAATATAAGATGCTATATGTATGATGCAATTTAGAGATTAAACCTTGACTGCCTATACTTTTAATACATTTTATTTCCTCTCTTTAAGCATCTTGGCTGCATTGGTCCTTTTTGTAATATTTAAATTTCAAGAGGACACATTATTTTTTTTGTCTCTTTTTTGTTGCTGGTCTTTTATGAGCAGTTCAGGTCAAATATTTTAAAAATACACTTAGAATTTAAGCTTTTCAAATGCTTGCATCAAAATAAATACCTTAACCATGTACTTTGAAAATCATCACAAAAAATATATCAAGAGGGGATTAGAGCAAAACCAAAAATTTCATTTAGAATTCAAACGGAATTACTTTTTAGGAGAAGAAAGGTGGTGTATTTATTACAAAACCGAAGAAGAATGGAGTCAATGTGGAAATCAAGCCTGCCTGGATTGAAGCACCCCAAGATTTTCAAGGTGTAGTATTGCTTCATAAAGCTGAAACAGGCTTCTGTCTTAGCTGAAAATAGTGTAAAGTTTTCCTCTTGTATCACTGGTAAACCATGGGTAATTCTAAAACCACCTCAGAAGACAGAACATCCTCTGGGAATTCCAATTTAGATTGCTCAATGCTGCAAATAGAGAACAAAGATTACCTTCTATATGTTTCACATTACCTCCTAAAACCATATTTAAATGTCATTCATTCCTCAGCAACATGATAAGGCCCAGTCAATATTTCCCTTTGTGCCAGAAAGTGCTGTTAAATTGGTGGGATTGCAGATCCTTTGTAGAGTTTTTTACTGGGAGTTGCTTGCAGCAAGATTCCAAAATAAATGTACAAAGCAGAAATGAAAGCTTGACCCCGATTTTCTTTATAGATAAAGCCTGTTCCACGGTAACAGCAATGGGACTCTTTAAGAGCAGGGAGTTGTATTAATGTTTACTCATTAATTTTCTCTTCAGAGATGGGTTTCTCTTTGAGCAGACAGGAACTGTAAATGGAGTAAAATACAAAAGTAAGCTCTTTCAGAGAGGCATGAGGTTTCATATAGATTAATATCCTGTAATTCCATGCAGTTTATTTGAACCCATAATCTGGATGCCAAATACACCTTTAAATATGCTCAGTTATTTTAATTTAAAACTACAAGGGCATGTAATATTCATGTTAAGATGTATGTTAACTGCACGAAGTTAATGACAGTGGAATAACACTATTGTAATTTTAGACTTGGAAGCAGAAAGAAAGATTACTCACAGGTCCCTGCAAGGACCACAGCTCCTTGCCAGCCATTCGGAAACAGCAGAGTACAGCGAGGAATCCGTCTCAGCACCACCTATAGACTCATTACAGGTAAGCAAATAGGTGTTGAGGAAAACTGTAAAAGGCTGTCATCAAAACTGAGCTCCAAAACAATACAGATATGAAGAGGTGTGATCATACTCATATAATCTCTCAGAAATTAATGCTTTGGGCTATATTATACAGTACTCATTTAAATTTGCTGGTAATGACATGCTAGAATAGGAAGGCCCAAAGCAAAACAATTATCAGTAAGGACAAAACCAGGCAAAACAAATTAACAATACTTAGATTCCTACTAATTTTCTTCTAATTCATTACTGAATCTGCAATTAGCAAATACTTATTGCTATATCTTGGCAAGTTGACATTTAATATTCAGTAAAGGTGTCTTGGAAGTAAATAGTGATTTATTTTCATTGGAAGAAGCTGTGGATCTTTAATGCAGCTTGTGGGAAATCAAGGGTAGTAGGTACTCCTTAAAGCAATGTATTTCAGTGCAGTTTGCCTCAAATAACATCTTTAGCTGATTTTCTACTCTTATATACGTTTTGCAAATATTTGCTTATTCAGGCTAAAGAATAACTTTTATTTCAGTTTGCTAGTTCTCCGGCAGTGACTAGCAGGAAAAGCTTAGCAAGCACACAGCTGTCAAGGATCCAGAGGGAGACAGATTTCCTCAAGTAAGTGACTTCTGGTAACACGTTTGTCCTTGGAAAGTAACTGAGCAATTGCCTTTTGCAACTAAGTTGATAATGCTGTGGGGCTCTGTGAAAATGAGGAAAGCAAAGACAGACTCCGGGTCATAATTGGGTAATATGATCTAGGTAAGGCTTTGAAAATTCTTTCTCTTGCATATAGTTTTATTTACACTTCACCATAGACAGTTATCAACTAGCTTATCAGCCTTTAAAAGAATATTCCTAGCACCTGTAGGATCAGAGGAAAAGCTGTCTTTTCAAATTGGAGTACAGCCCTCACTGCTGTAGGTAAAAACTGCTCCTGGGAGTAGTCTCACAGAACTTTAGCATTTGCCAGTATTAGAAGGGTTCTGTGATCTACGTCAGCGGTTCCCCATGGTGCAGCAGTGAGGCGTGATACAGATTGTATGTCAGGACACTACACCTCCATAGCAGCCAAAGAGCTTTCTACCTTGCAAAGCTGTTTATAGTTCAGAACCTCATGTCATGGATGCTGGGGCATAGTCTGATGGACACCACAGCCTGGAAACCGCAACTGAGAAACCAGTGGCCTAAGCCCTGTCACAGCAAGCTCCAGATTATTCGTTGTTATGCAGCAGTACAATACCAAAACAAGCTCAGTCAGTTTGTTCTTATTTTCAGATGTGCCTGCTGCTCTGCACCCCGCCTGTCTGACCCCTTGGCTCACTTCTGTCAGGAATGTGGATGTCCTGTACCACCTCTGCCAGTACGCTGCTTTCCACCCCCTGAAGGATCACAGGTCAGCGAAACATCATAACAATCAACAAATTATATCTCTGGAGAAAACAAATCCTTCAGAAAATTACACCCGTAATGCTGGCAAATCCATTAGTCACTCCTTCGTGGTCCCAACGTAAGAGGGATGTGGAGCTGTTGGAACAAGTCCAGAGGAGGTCCCAAAGATGCTCCAAGGGCTGGAGCATGCCTGCTCTTGAGATAGGCCGAGAGAGCTGGGCTTGTTCAGCCTGGAGAAGAGAAGGCTCTGCGGACACCTTAGAGCAGCTCCAAGTGACTAAAGGGGCCAAAAAGAAATCTGGAGAGGGGCTTTTGACAAGGGCCTGTAGGGACAGGACAAGGGGGAATGGCTTTAAACTGACAGAGGGGAGATTTAGATCACATAGTAGGAAAAAATCCTTTATTGTGAGGGTGCTGAGGCCCTGGCACAGGGTGCCCAGAGAAGCTGTGGCTGCCCCATCCCTGGCAGTGTTCAAGGCCAGGTTGAACAGGGCTTGGTGCAATCTGGTCTAGTGGAAGGTGTCCCTATCTGTGGCAGGGGGTTGGAACTGAACGAGCTTTAAGATCACTTCCAATCCAAACTAATCTGTGACTTTATGATTTTGTTCAATACCTTCATCACTGAATCCAATGTAATTCTTAAACAATGGGCAAAATTAACCATAAATTCCTTCAAGTGCCATATATTTTAATAAGTGAAACAATGAAAAAGTAAACTGTGTTTTATTTGCCAGTGTCAGAAAACATTACCAAATTCAGGTTCCTCTCATCCTGCAAGAACCACCACTGCATCTTCAGGACCTGCATGTGTATCTTATTCCAGTGCTAACTAGTGCTTATGTCATTGCTGTGGAAGATCCACCTAATACGCCTGAAACCTTACATGGTGGCATGTGTGGGCATATATGTAAGAGCACCAAGTTTTTAGTGATGCCTGTAACTGTCTTCTCTAAGCTCTTCCCAAGAGATAATAACTTGATCTAACAAGTCAGTGGTGTAATTTTTTTTCATGTATAATCAGAAAAATGTCTGGATTAATGCTGTAGTTTCAAGTGATGACTGAGAATATTCACCACCTCTTTAGATTAGGTTCATAATTAAGATGATTTCAGCTACTACATTTTATAGTAGCTATTTAATTCTATTGAAAATTAACTTAGTATCTTTCTGGCATATTTTAGTTGTCAGTAAAGTCACTCTTTCCAGTTGTCTTCATATTTTCTCAATAGCCTGTTATCTTTAAGGATCAGTATCAGCATCTGTGGCTCTCAGTTTCTATGTTTCTAGTGACTTTGCTGCTGATGTAAACTCTAACCAGGAAAACACTGAAAATCTCACAATAACCCTTATGACATGCTGTGATGTGGCTTTTTCTTCAGATGGCGCCATGTCTTGAATGCAGACATCTTGTGCCAATGAATACACCCTCTTGCATTGTATGTGAGTCACCAATAGCTCCACAGCTGCAGCCCCAGACCAACATGTGCGTAAAGGTAATTAAGAATAAATCTAACAAAATAGCGGTTTACCTCCTGGCATGTGTTTTTCTAACAGATGACTTCATTACAACCATTGTGCGCCAGCTTGGTTTTGTATAATTTCATTATGACAGATTTAAGAGTTAGTAGGATTAAAACCACTTTGAATAGAAATAATCATTAAAGGCAAACCACATAAGCTCAGGAAGGCATACTGAAGAGCACATGATGTAGCAGTGTGAATGACAGGAACATGTGCACTTGTGCTCAGGAAAGAGATAGTCCATGATCTATAATTTCTGGCCTTAGTATTACTAAGCATTTTAAGTTTGTTAAATATATCCTCATTACTCTGCTTACCTTATTTGACCATAAGTGCTTAGCACAGGTTTGCTGGCAGGACTGCGGCAGTGGGTAGATGCCCAAAATGTTCAAGCACAGTCTTAGTGATCCAAAAGTGCTGGTGGTCTCAAATAGACAAAATGTGCCCTACAAAATACTCCCTACCTAAGGGTATGTGGATGCATGTAGGGGCCCTCCTCAACCACTCCAGTCAGGGAAAAGGGTGTGAGAAGGAAAGAGCTGATACTGCATGTCCACAATTGGTAATTATAGACATTGCTCCAAATATGATGTGTTATGGCAGCCCTGATGTAGGTACAAAGGCAGACTTGGTTTGGTGGCAACAATCAAAACAGTAGACTGATGATTCTCAGTTCTGCTGGAAACTCACTGTTAATAGTGACTGTGCTAGGGCACCCTCAGGGGGACAATAATAATGATTTTCCTTGCAGATACTGGACTTTCTGGTTATGTGAATGCAATGACTAAGTAAACTAATACATGCAAAGATCTTGGGGTATTGATGCTGGGTCTCCTAAGGGAACTGTACCATAGTTTAAATTGTCATCAGGAACCATAGATGTGTGATGTGCAGACAATATGGCCTTACTAAAACCTGAAGCCCACGCACAGACTTTCAGGATCTCTTATCCCTGCAGGGCTGAATAACCACAGCACTTTGTGCGATCAAGTCAAATACTGAGTAAAATGTATTCTTTCTCTATTTAAAAGGGCAAAGTAATTTGTCAGGCGTGTGGCACAGGAAATCCTCTTCACCATAAACACTGTGTGACTTGTGAAAGCAGGCTGCCTGAAATACAGATGGTAAGGCTTCTTCCGTCGATCACACTAGGCTTAATCAAACCAAAGCACAACATTCTTTTCCTTTGGAAAACTGAAGCCATATCCCTGTGTCCCTATGTTACAAAAACAGAGATTCCCTCCCCCTTGGGATATTCAAGCTCAGTGCTCCCACAGATGCGCCATTACAAACGTCCAGCTAAACATAAGCGTACCTGCGAGTTAAAAATCATCTAACACAAACATCCCGAGTTCTAAAACTGCCAGTAGCTAGAGGCAAAGGTCTCTTGTACAACCACTGAGGTGTTATTTCACAGTAAATTTAAGTAGGAAGTTGTACTTACCTAAAATAAACATATGCTTAGTGCTTCACTGGTTGTAGATACTAAGACGTAGCTGCATATGTAGTTAGGCATATGCCGTGAATGGTGAGACCTGTAGTAGCTAAGGGAGAAAGTTAAATGCTTACAAAGAATTATTAATAGTAATCAGAAATTTTACTACTAATAATGGTTAATTAGCAATAACCAATAGTAATTCCTGAATACTAATTAGTAACAAATCTGATATTACTATTAATGGCTATTAAATAATTTAGATTTAGAGCATATTTAAACTTGTGCTCCTGTAAATATTATCTTCCAAGTGAACCCCAAATCACATCAAATTGCAGTTGAGGCCGCAGATGAAAATAGGGCTATTGCCTGTTTGCTTATTTGCTGTTGTGGTGTCTGCAATCAGAATAATTTTCCTGGGGTCTGCTCCTTATCCATATTCCTGATTTGCACAGAAAATAAACAGCGTAAGCCCTGAGGCAAAACCCAACAAACCATCTTTAAGACCTCTTTGTCCTAACTATTGGTTCTATAATCAACCTCTAGAAGTTTCAGCTGAAAAATCTGTTTTCTTTTGCATACCCATGTAAGTTAATTGTAGTGGGAGCTAGAGAATATATAACTTGTATGAGGTAAAAAAGTGCAAAATGAAAAAACCCAAACCGACCTTAGGTAGCAAATATCAAAGTGAGAGAAAACTCATTGTCTGAACACACTCTCCCTGCCATACTACTACAAAGAAAGGTACAACGGAAAATATCTGTTGTGTTTTGAGTTGTGTTTTGTGTTTATCAACAGGGAAACCTCCATCTTAATGCTGAGTCTACTTGGGGCCATATTAGTAAACACTCAGTGTAAAAGGACACTGATTGATAAGGTTGGGGTTTTTTTTCTTAGTTCTACTGAAAATATTTTAAAATTAATAAATGCCACGTTTTACTGGGGGTTTGTAGTGAAAAAAATAATAATAAATTACAGGTCAGAGCCAAGTCAGTCTGATGCTTAATCTCACTTGAGCAAGCTGCTCTAGTGGAAGGTGTCCCTGCCCGTGGCAGGGGGTTGGAACTGGATGAGCTTTAAGGTCCCTTCCAACCCAAACCAGTCTGGGATTCTGTGATGCTTCTATGAAATAATTCTTTTAGGTTGACTGTTACTTAATGTTATCAAAGTAGCTTGCTTTCCCTCTTATTTGGCTTGTGACCCTTTTCTCATAAGAAGTATTTTCTCTCTAATTCTTGTTTTGTTTTAATTAGCCCATGTTCGGGGACACCCCCCCACCTTACCACAGCCAGCAAAGCAAGACAGTTTCATGCTCAAAATGCCATCGTGTTAACCAAAGTGATGCCCGTTTCTGTGACTGGTGTGGAGCCAAGGCACGTGCTATCCGTCTTTGTGCTGACAAATCTCTTTCTACTCATCCGTGACTTCTCTTTGCAAAACTCTGTCAGTTAGTATACAGCTTTTTACTATCAAAGTACTTCAAGCACATAGGATTACGTAAAGAAAAATGAAAGGCTTAGATGACATCCTGACCCCACATCAGTAGGTGACTGGAGGCTTTAGGTATGTAAACAAATTACCATGGGTCAATAAGCATCAGCTCACCTGAGAGGCAATAGCTGTATGTCATACCAAAGTAACTGATCCACCAAAGGTCAATGTATAGACTGACCTAATGCAAGTTTTCCCATAGCTACTCTTTTTCTCTGTGAGCTGAGTCTGCATTAAAAGTTGAAACACTCACCTCTGCCTACGTAACCAGTGGTCCTCTGCTGTACTGTGGGCACTCTGGGGAGGTGGTGGTAGAATTGGACTGGAAAGAATAGCAGTCAGCATTCAGTATCAGTGCACCAGACTAGTAATTACAGGACTTTGCCAAAGAAAATTAGCATTTGTTTTTCAGTTTAAATAACATACCATAGTGGTAGATCTGTCTGAAAAATGTTTGCCTCCATAGCATAATGGTGAGATATCTGAAAAGTTGGTGTCTCGCATCTACCAGTGTGTTAGCAACCTGTTATCCTGCTTAATATTACTTACCTAATAGCTTCTGATAGTGCTACTTTACTTCCTTTTAATTCATGCCACTGCTTTTATCATCCCTGAACCATGCATCAGATGTTTCTGTAGTGACAAGTGTTTCATTGGACTTTCCAGCCTGGACCTCCTCCATCCTACTTTTCTTGTTTCAAGTGTGGTACAAGCAATCATCCGTACGCTCGCTTCTGTGGGTCCTGTGGTGTTTACATAGAGCCCCCATCAAGGGTGGGTTCTCCCAACAGCAGTCTCATGGATGCTGGGGACTCACTGGGGATTTCTGAGGTAAGACACACAGTATTACAAAGCCAGGTTTGAAGACAGCTAAGAGCCTAGTCCACTGCAGGTGGAGATCAGCACAACCCCATTCATTTCCTCTTTGAGACAAGGCTGTGGCCTATGAGCCTGCTGAGGGCAAAAAAGAGGATATGTTTCTACTGAGAACTGCTTTCTGCCAAATAGTAGCTTTAGCCAAAGGCCTTAATCCAGCCTTATTCTAAATAGCCAAGTGAGAAACAATCAGCTTTTCAAAGTCTCAGCTCTTTAAGTACTTTTATCTTACTGCCTGTGAATTATTTGTGTCCTGCTAATACAGGGTATTCTTTCATGCACATTTAACACTGTTTTAAAAACTCTGCTTTGAGAAAGAACACAATACTTAGCCAAGGCCAGCTTTTGTCCTGCAAAAGCATACGTACTGCTAGCAATGGTGGAGAGTTTTGCTTTTGCTTGAATATTTGTGTCCAGTTGCATCATTGTTATAGACTGGTAACTAAAATCAGGAATTGTTAATGATCCTTCCTGCTAGCTTTTTCATTCCTGGACAATTCTGTGTACTGTTCTACACAATTTTTGCTTATAAGCCATCTCAATCTATCTAATTATATTACATACACTTTTCCTTCCCCTCCACCCCACACACAGCCTCTTCCTATTTCCTTGCCCAAATCAAGGGCCGAACTAAAAGAAAGAGAAGATAAAGGAACTCAAACCATTGGACTTTTTTACCCATCAAGCAAACTGTTGGAAAAGAAGGAGCTTGAGCTGATTTCACAAAAAGAAAAACTGGAAAAGATGAGTGATCATAAGCCTCTCCTGACAGCTATTAGTCCTGGAAAAGGTTAGGAGTTTTGATTTTATGTGTTCTATACAAAGATGCAATGTATGACCTTGCTTTTTCTGGAAGATTTTATCATCTTGGAATGTGCCATCAGTAGGACATTGATTTACATCTTTATAAGTTTGTCTTCCCACCAGTCACTTGTAAATGCAGTGCCTTAGAATTCAGCCACTGATCTCCATCAACAGCTACAACAGCAGTAGATCACAGTTCTTAAAAAACATGATGAGGCTTTTGTATCTGAAGAACATGTTTGGGGTCCTGTTGTGGAATGAATTGTGGAAGTTTTGGAAGTAAAGGAAAGTAAACTAGAGAAAGGGATTCTTAAAGAGGATTACAAAACCCAGGGTTGGTAGAAACCTTGAGGGCTCTTGTAGGCCCCCATCTTCAGGGCCTGCAAAGGTATCTACATCTACATCACTCACTGCAGAGCCTGTCCATTCACAGGCTCCTGTATCAGTACTGCAGACAGTTTTGTTTCAGTCCCTGGTTTGGTCAGTTAGTTCTTTGTGGAATCACTTTGCTGTCATTAAAAAGTTTGCAATTTTTAGAGATTTTAGTTTTACTATCCTGGCAAAATTTCAACTTCAGTTTTCAGTTTTTAAAGTCCCTTCCAATCCAAACCATTCTGTGATTTTATGATATACTTAAAAGGCATTTATCTGGGGAATAATTTGCACAGACCAGAATGCTGTATAGGGTAAGTTTCTATGTCTGCAGTTTTCAGATTTGGCTTATTGTTACCTGTCGGTGATCTCAAACCGACTACAAATCAGTTCAACAACACTCAACTGTTTAGTTGTAATATTGGGGTTTGTTTGGTTTTTACTCTTGTGGAATAGTGTGAGACTTCCCTTCATGCACGGCCAGTTTTGATTCCCAATAACAATTCCAAGGCATGGTTTTGTTATGAATAGAGCTCCCCTAAGAATTAATTATGAGCTATAGACAAGACAGTATTTAACCTTTTTTAGGGAAAATAAGTTCTTTTAAATCATCCATTGTATGAGAAGAAATGTTAAGCATAATTTCAGGATTTTTTTCTCCCGTTTAACTCTCTCTGATCAGGTTACTGGAGAAAACAGCTGGATCACGTCTGTGCTCACCTTAGAAGCTATGCTCAGAACAATCTTGACTTCAGAGCACTGATTGGAGAACCTCGAATGGGAAAGGTAGGAAGGAGCTTGTACTATCTTCCTATGGAGCATCATGAAAAGACTGCTGTGGCTGCTACATAAACACTGGAAGAATAAATGCCTCCCTTTTCTTTAGACCTTGACCTGTTTGTGTAATTTGTCTTGTTTTGTTTTCCATTTTCTGCTCAGTCTATTACTGAAGGGTTTTTTTCTGCTTTCTTTCCAATGGCAGTTTCTCTTCTTTCACCTCAAAGCTGTATGAGAAGCGATGGAAGCGAGAGAGCCCTTACTCAGCTGCTTTTACAGTATCTCACAGCAGGCAATCAAGAAAGAGAGATCACTAGTTGGTCAGTTTAATAAGCTCTGCTAGAAATGGAATTTAGATGATATGCTTGCCTCTGCTCAGGGCTGGATTATACCAGCAGATAGCAGCAATTCTCTTTGGCTATACCATCTACTTCTAGCGTAAACGATACCAGTCTTACAGGAACAGGGCATTGTTTTTCCTACTGGAGATGTAGTCTTCAGGATGTCACTAAACTGCATTAAAATGATTAAAGGGGTGATACCAAGAAGGTGGAAACTAGAGATTGTAGTCCTAGAAGATAGGGCTGGAATGACTGAGAGATCATTTGGTCCCTGTCCTGAGGGAGGATCAACTCTGCCTAAACAGTTCCTGACAGATGTTTGCCTTGAAGCTTTTCAAACTCACCAACAATGGAATTTCACAACTGCCCCAGGCAGTCCATTTCTGTGCTCAATTATCCTTGCTGTTCAGCTCAGCACTGTATTGCTTGCTTTGGCAGCCCTGCTGGGTTAAGGAATTGAATCCCCTCACACTAATTCCTAGGTGCTGCCAGCACATGGGGCAATGTCCTGTGGACTGGATCAGGGACTGACCCAGGCTAAAAATAGCTCTAGAGGGAAAAATAGGCCATTACTGCTAGTACAAATGTAGCAGGAAAAGTAACAGAAGTGATTCAAAGCAGATGCCAGCTATGTGGGTTTAATGTTGGTTTTGATTGTCATGTGACTTAGAAGTATAATCAACTTCATCTCAAAAATCTCTGCTTGCTGCAATATAAACCTCATCAGCTTCATTCCACTTCTTTATAATCCACCATGCACTCATTTTTGTGTAACTTCTAGTCTTCTTGCCAGAGGTACTGTCTCAGTGAATTGATATAAAAATCAAAGAATCATAGAATCAGCTGGGTGGGAAAAGACTTTCAAGATCATCCAATCCAACCATTCCCTAGCACTGCCAAGGCCACCACTAACCCATGGCACTGAGGGCCTCGTCTACACGGTTTGTGAACACTTCCAGGGACGGTGATTCCAGCACTGCCCTGGGCAGCCTGTTCCAATGCCTGACTGCCCTTTGGGGAAGAAATTGTTCCTAATATCCAGTCTAAACCTCCCCGGTGCAGCTTGAGGTAGTTTCCTCTTGTTGTGTTCCTTGTTCCTTGGGAGCAGAGCCCAGCCACCTCCTGGCTCCATCCTCCTTTGAGGTAGTTGTAGAGTGATGAGGTTCCCCCTGAGCCTTCTCTTCTCCAGATTAAACACCTCCAGTTCCCTCAGCCATTCCTTATCACACTTGTGCCCAGACCCTTCACCAGCTCTGTTGCCCTTCTCTGAACCCACTTAAGCATATAGAAAGTTAGGCAAGTTTTACTACAAACTATTCCTCTACAGGCTGCTACAACTAAAGCAACAACCATTTCTCCTGGAGCAGGGAGTCCTAAGAGCAACACAGCCTGTCATGCAGCTGCAAAACCTGGGTGGAGAATGACTGAGCTTGCATGAAGCATAGCATTATTAAATCTTTTGCATTCATTTGGCACGTCAGTAGTTTTGATATTTCCAGTTACTCTAAATACCACCTGCCCCTTCCTCAGGGAGATGGGAAGTGTTGGTACAGTATCACAGTAGGCAAAGGCCACATGTGATTTGGTGTATTGGCTCCATAATAAACAAACATCATAAGCAAAACTTATTCCTAAAGCCGTTTCTGTGTATTGTTTGTATTAGATACTAACGGTGGCTCTTTCCCTCTAGATTAATTCTGCTACCATCTGTGAGGATGACTATGAAGTCACTATTACACTGAATTATGCTCTTGCTATTAACAAGGTTAGTTTGGGGGGGTGAGGCCCATTGTTAGGCAGCTGATCTAAAGCTGTCACTAGACCAGTGAGTGTAACACCTGTATATTTTAAAATCACGTCAAAACCCTAAATTCTTTTGTTGAGAGGGTATTAACTTATCACTTCAGAGAAAGGAATCTTTCTAATGGCTGAACAGATATCTTTACCTGATTAAGCCAGGCTTCGTGGTTATGTTGCTATCATCTTGCATTTCATTAGTTTGCTATTATTAATATTAACATTCAGTTTTACCACTGATGTTTGATCCCAGCACCTTGAGCTTAGGTGCTCCTTGTCTTCAGTGTGCAAATTGTGTTCTTAAAGAACAAGCTCAGTAATTTTCAATAGTTTGGAGATAACATTTACCAGAACTCCTGTTAACTGTATCAAACACTTAAAATCCCTAGCTCCAGAAGTACCATGTTCTAAAACCCACACAGATATTTATTCCCAACTTTTCAGAGATGAGAATCCTCCATTTGAAAGATCCAAAATTCAGATTGTATTTCTTGTGTAGAATCTGAACAAGCTTACCTTGCTACGTGATGCCTGAAAAGGTGTATCACATCATTTCACAAGTTAGGAGTTAATCAGATATCTCAAGGGGTAGAACATATTCATTTGGATGAGAATCTTCATTTCATTAGGTGAAGTTGTGTCACTTTGTTTTTCTAAATCAAACCAAATACTACCACAAGGTTTAGAAAAATTGCTACATTATTTTGCCTCAAAACAGAGCTCAGTTACATACAACAATTTGTCTTGTGCTAATTTGACACTGATATTAAAAGCCTATATATTTTTTCATCTGCCGCACCACTGTTTTGTGCTACTAAGATTATAACAGCCTTAGGTGATACCCTTTCTAACTACCTCCATTTGATAATTCTACAGAACATTCATACTAATAAGCCAGTGAAGTTCAGCAATCATTACCTGAGTGCTGCAACAGAAGTCAGAGATGGACAGGACGGCTGTCAGACTAGTCTGGGTGAGTTTGTTTTTCCCCCTGTCTTTATGTAGGCTTAAATTGTAGGTTTAAGCTAACAATAGCGTGTGTCTTTAACATAGTAGAATGCAGCAAACTGTTCTAACTTGCTAACCCATAGAGAGAGAAAGGAATGTTTGGCTGACGGGGGAAGGAACATCACGGGACTGATAACAACTAAGGAGACAGTAAATAAGACCAAGGCTGCTAGACTTCATGATAGCGGAGCAGCACCCAGCGTGGAGCAAGACTGGAACAGAACAGAAGGAAGGACATTACCACTGCTAACTCAGCACTAGGACCCTGCGGGCATGGTCAAGCACTGAGGTCATTCAGGAAATACAGTGAGGAAGACAATCAGCAACCACCAGAGACCCCCACTTAGCATGAAAGGGCATGTCTAATTAGGATGCAAATATTATAATTAGTTCCTGGGAAATCTATGAATATGCATGAATATGCTAAATGTAGAGCAGCTGTCAGCAAGTAATGGGCATGCTCACCTCTGTAAAACTGTTCACATGTGCTCACAGCTCTGCAATAAAGAATGCCTGCTTTTTAAAACTCCAAATTGAGTCTGAGAGAGTTTCTCCAACCAGCTTTTATGGTAACATTTATGTTAAATATAGTAATCAAGAATACAGAAGTAGCTTTTTGAAGGTCAGACACTGAAACATCCAAAATAAAACACTGGCACATTCTGAGCCTACTTAAGTTGATCTTTAAGTCTCAAAATGGCCGAGTTGAGATTTAAGCAGTGTATGGACCCTGTCAAAAACTCATAGAAATGCTTTCTCACTGAAAGACAGCTGAGGAGGCTAGTAAATGCAGCTTATAGCAGTGGTTTTGTTATAGTGATAAAACTTCAGATGCTTTGCATATTATTTTACAGTAGGAGTCACAAATAACAGAATCCCAGACTGGTTTGGGTTGAAGGGACCTTAAAGCTCATCCAGTTCCAACCCCTGCCACGGGCAGGGACACCTGCCACAAGACCGGATTGCTCCAAGCCCCATCCGACCTGGCCTTAAACACAGCCAGGAATGTCAGTATTATCTCTGCTTTTGAGCTGTGCCAGGCACTTCAGCTTTGGCACGTTTGGAAAACTTAAGAAATGAGGGAATACATTCATGCTAGACCTAGTTTTCAGAGAAGCTCAACTTGCATTTCTGTTAGCATTAAGAGCTCAGTGGTTTTGGAATCTCATATTGGACTTAAGCTTTCATTCAATCAACTAGCTGTGAAGTCAGGATTAGAATTCAGAAATTCCTATGGTGACATTTGACATACTTCAGTTCACATGGAAGTTCCACCCACTTTGTGCTTTCAGTCTAAGAATTTGCAAGGGGCAGCCAGGGCACTAGGAGCTGAGTTTTTGGGGAGTGTCAATAATGACTGTGACTCCAGACACCCTGGTAGCACCAGCTCAAAGAGTCCATACATGGTGCCTAGTTTACTTACCAACCCTCCTGCATGTTAGTAGATTATGTCTCTTTAATATAACAGATGAATGGGTCTACTCTAGGCCCACTGGTTCTTGAGTATCTGGGAGCCAGACAGCACTGAAAAATGATAAGGTATTTGGTCAAAACAATTCATGACTCCAAGTCAAGCTTGTTGAATAGCTGCAGCTAGTTAAAGAAAAAAGAAAAGAAAGACTAAACCTCCTCAAACCCTGCATCTCATTGAATCGTCATTTCAAAATAGCAAGTTTTTATGAGTGCTTAAGTGTAAACCTTTTGTTAAAACCAGTCTGATCTGCAACAGATATTTCATCACTTTCTCTCGTAGAAAACTGATAAATATTGCTTTGATTTCAACACAAAATTAAATATTTTTGTGGATAAATTATTTCCAGATCTCTCCCCCAAGTTCTTGTTAGGATACTGACTTTGCTTTCAACTAATACTTGTTTCCCTTTCTGGTAGGCAAAGACGATCATAATCTTTTCCATTCAAGAGACAAAATAGAGAGAACAAAGTCAAGAACACTTATAGAAAAGGAAGATAATCTCCCCGTACGTATCTTCTGCCAGTACAGGAAAACCCCCCTATAGAGCAGCACGAACACAGAGGGCAGCCAAGGGTAAAAATACAAAGGTTTTAACACTGACAGGGGGGTGGGGGAAGTGGACAAAAGTCCAATTTAATATCAAACCTGAACACTGGTAAGTGGCATTTATTACAGAACTGGAAATAACTATTTTCTACTAGAAGCTTAATTACATTGGTACTCTCTGGTTTTTGGACCCATTCTGATTTACTGACACAGCCCTAGGACTAAAGACTGTTGCAGATTGATTTTGTTACAGGTTTTTCTCAGAAGCAAAATCAAGTGGAGGCACTATTGTCTTCCCCTGACCCTACTGCTTAGCTTGACTCCATAGGACATACCCTTGGCTGTGCTGGAACTACTGTGCACACAGACTGTGAACGAGGCAGAAGTTAATCTAATCAAAAAGCTTTGAAGTCGGCTCGGATTTCTCATCAAGCTGAGGTGTCAGCACAACTGAGGGCTAGTTTATTGCAAGAAGCAAGGCTTTACTTCCACTAGAGACCGTATATCTTGGAAGTACTGCCTACTACTATGCCAGCAATGGCATGAAACATTTCAAAAGGGGAAAAGTACTTTAATCTAAACTTGGATCAGTTTGCCAACTCAACAGATGGAGGAAGTTATAGAGCTTTGTGGTGTGAGTACAGAGATAGAAATACTTGGTCAAGTGACTGGGCTTTCAAAAGGGAAGAAGAATGAGGTAGAAGGCTGGGAAGAAATACAAGGAAAAGCTTTTAGGTTTTGTTGGTTGTTCGCTGGTTTAGGATTTAGTGAATGAACTTCTGTGAGGCAAAACATAACTTGTTTTTTTAAATAAAATACTTCCACAAGTTCTGGAAGCCTCAAACTTTAATCCTCTAGCAAAGAACTTGTGCCCAAGTTGAATCTACTATGGCTATCAGATCTCTGTACAGCTCTGAGAGCTGCCTTGATGTAAAGATGATCATTTGTAGACATGTTTACTGAATCAAGACCTCAACAGTGAGATGCTAGCCTGGGTTACCCAACACTTCCGCAGATTTGGAAAGACATTCCCAAAGGAAGGACATGGATTAGTATTACTGAGGGTCAGCTGCACTGCATTCATGCCATTGTGTGCATTTTCCACCTCTACTCAAATGCAGAGTAGGGCCCACCTAGTTGTATTTTCACTGCGTGAAATGCTACTGGCTGTTTTCTGTATTTCCACAGCCAGAGTCCAGACAGCTACTGGACGAACTGGGTCCAAATGGGAAAGGAAGAATCCCCTTGGTAGAACAATTACTTAGTGAAGTAAGTCACTGCTTGCTGCAGTTACCTTTTCCAACTCTTTGACCATTTACTGCATGACTATTAGCCTGGTTAGCGACTTTATGCTTAGGAAGCAACATCCTTGCAATACAACTGACTGTTTTCAGATTAAAAGAGCATTTTAGAGAAGAAACAGCCTATTTTACATTTGTATATGTTTTTTGCAAATTCCTACTTGGACAGTGTGTAAGGCATCCTCCTCATCTCCTCCTCCCCTCAAAGGCATACAGAATGAAAGATAAATTAATTTTATAGTTTAGGGTCAAGCCCTCTATATAGGAAAAGCAAGCAAACCTCTACCTCTTTGCTGTATGGTAAGGTGCATCCTGACTGCAGGTTCTAGTTTGACGCACTTATTATATACATTTACTCTGGCTTTGAGCTAGAAGACCAGAAATATCTTCAGAAGAAACACAAAGAAACAATACCACACAATTTGAATATTTCTCTGTCCTGAGCATGAAAGTCCATTTGCCAACTTCAACTGGCATAATATTAAAGGCCAGGTTGGATGGGGCTTGGAGCAACCTGCTCCAGTGGGAGGTGTCCCTGCCTGTGGCAGGGGTTGGAACTGGATGAGTTTTAATGTCCCTTCCAACCCAAACCATTCTGTGATTCTAAAGATGGAAGCTGAAGAAACTTAATGGCTTTTAACAGCTCACCTTCCCTCTCCTGTGTGTGCTAGGGAGCTGACCCAAACTGCACCAGCGATGAGGACCAACCTGCACTCACCTTTGCTGTCCTTAACAAGCATGCCGAAGCCATCTCCCTTCTGGTGCAGAAAGGTGCCGACATCAACCAGCAGTCAGGACCATAAGCAAACACTCATTCTGGTCTTTGGAAGTGTTCCCAAAAAAAGCACTTGTACTCCAATTTTAGAGAGGATTAACCTCTCACCCCTCCTCCACACATCTGTAGCTCCTTTCAAAGCCAAATCTGAAAATAACAACCTGCAAATGAGCAAAGAAAATAGTACTCACAGGCCTTGCAGCTGCCAGCTTTGAAGATTGCTCATAATTTCTCTTAGGAAAGCTGCTGTTCTATTCAACTCATTGCCCAATCCACTTCAACTTAATACAATAAACCACACTAAAGCCTACCAAAATAACCTAAATCATCATGACTCCTAATGTATTCTATATCCTCCCATTCATTTGTTTCATTTAATCTGCTAGACCACTTTCCGTGTACCAGCACGGCTTCCCCACGTAATGGGTACGCTGCTCTTGCACCTACACAGGCGCAACAACACTGCTCTCCATGAAGCAGTTCTGCTTGGATCGGAAGGAGAGGAGTGTGTCCAAGTTCTCTTATGGTAAGTGCTGAGGCTGACCCTCTAGCTCGGCTGCAGGGTACCCCCAGTCTGCTTGCAGAGACCTCCCTGGGAATGCTGAACACCCAGAGCCTGCCCAAGGCCCAGCAGTCATCTCTCACAGATCTGTCCCTGCAAGAAGAGGCATCCAGGAATTCTGAACATACCCTGCATCAACATTTATCATTGAATCGTAGAACGGGTTGGAAGGGACCTTAAAAGCTCATCCAAGTTGCAACCCCCTGCCATAGGCAGGGACCCTTCCACCAGACCAGGTTGCTCCAAGCCTCATCCAGCCAGGCTTTGAACACTGCCAGGGAAGGGGCAGCCACAGCTTCTCTGGGCAACCTGAGCACCTCCATGGCCTCTCTGGACTCATTCCAACAGCTCCATGTCCCACTTGTGTTGTTGCCCCCAGAGATGGACACAGGATTGCAGGGTGGGGGGGATCTCACCAGAGCAGAGAAGAGAGGGAAAATCCCTTCCCTCAACCTGCTGGCCATGCTCCTGTTGATGCGGTCCTACATGTTCCTTCACTAACTTCAGTACCTTATTGTCATGGTTTAAGCCCAGTCGGTAACTCATGCAACCACCCCCTCACTTTCCCTCTTCTTTGGCAACCCCCGCCCCCTTCCTGGAGGGGTGGGGAAGAAAGCATGAAGAAAGTAAATCCCATAGGTTAAGATAACACAGTCCAGTAACTTAAGATACAATAAGAAACTACTACTACTACCACCACTATTAATAATTATAAGGGAAATAACAAGGGGAGAGAATATAAAACTAAAAGGGGAAAAGGAAAAGAAAACAATAAACACATGTATGATGTGCTGTAGTATGGAATACCCCTTTGGCTAGTTTGGGTCAGGTGTCCTGTCTCTGCTTCCTCCTCCTGCTTCCTGTGCCCCTCCTCACTGGCAGAGCATAAGACTGAAGAAGTCCTTGATCGGAGTAAGCATTACTTAGCAAAAACTAAAACCATAGGTTTTATCAGCACTGTTCCCAGACTAAAGCCAAAACACAGCACTGCACCAGCTACTAGGAAGGAGAAAAGTAACTGCTACAGCTGAACCAGGACAGTGGGGATGAATTTAAGTAGCTAAACCCTATATGCTTTATTTACAGCTGCAATGCAAGCATAAAGAAGAACACAGAAGGACAATCAGCATATGATTTAGCTGTTACAGCTGGAAACAATGAAGTGATTTCATTGTTCACAAGTAAGCTTAGACAAGGAACAGTGGAAAAACCTGTGAAACCCAGAAACAGTGGTCGTGTCAGTGTGTGATCGACTCCCCCCAAGATCGAGCTGGAGGCTCTTCAACAATGGGAGCACCTTAGCACACATCCTCTTCTGTCTACAGACTTACCAGCCCTGTACAAACAACTCAGGCCTTCTAACAGCAATGTGTTTTCTACAGGATCCCTCCTATTCCTCCCCAGCAGTTCGCAACACAATTCTTCACCGTGTTCTGTTCTGAACGATTTCTTTCCAAAATTGTGCAAGAAGAAGCACCAACCAGTCCTTCCAACACACAAGGTCATTGTAAAGAGATCTGACAATCCACTTGAGCAATAGGTGGCTGGAGCACCTCTGCTCTGGAGACAGGCTGAGAGATCTGGGCTTGTTTATCCTGGAGAAGAGAAGGCTCCATAGAGACCTTAGAGCAGCTTCCAGTGCCTAAAGGGTACACAAGAAAGATGAGTAGCACTGCAAGCTGTACTCTCATTAGCTTGTTTCCCAATTTGAACTTCTCAGTGCATTTCGTGCAGGTCATCACATTGCACTAAATTGTTCACCAGAAAACGGAGTAAAAATCACTTTGCTCTTTTACCTTCAACTTTAATTTCTAAATGCATCAACATGAGTCAAAACCAGCTACAAACAGAGGTTTACAAGGATACCAGGCACACTAAGATTTGGCATGATAGACATTATTAGCCACAAACCCAAACCCCCAAAGGACTTTTAAAATTCCCCCCTCTCTTTATTGCCAAATGTATCTGAAAGCATTGGTATTTTCAGGATGAAAATGGAAGTGCCTTCCAACCCTTGCAAGAAACACAAGGTTTGGGGTCTCTAAAGTAGAAACAGCCCAGTTTAAAAAATAGGAAGCAAGAAATAAAGCAACAAGTAGTAATCCTTAACAGGAAGGACAGGAGAACCCCTGCATTAAAAAGAAATATGATGTATGTAGCGCATCAGATCCTCAAGTCTGCTCCTGACAGGGATGGCCATTCTAGAAGCAGTCCAGGAAACAGCCATCGATCAGAGCAGCAGTGCCAGAGCACACATCAGACAGGTGTTACCAGGGAGCGAGAAGCCACAGGAGCTTAGGAAGCCAAACTCATTATTGCCCGACGCACCATCTTGGCTTCATCGCGAACGTCATTCACCTTCCGAGAAATTCCCTTTTTCTGCGGAGAATAAAAATAACGTTACTGTCCCCCACTAAATTTGGCATCGTTCAGCTCTGATGGGAAAGGAGGCTATACTAAAGCCTTGTCCAGAAGACAAGAATGCCCCAGGGGCTGGAGAAGCTCTGCTCTGGAGCCAGGCTGAGAGAGCTGGGCTAGTTCAGCCTGAAGAAGAGAATGTTCCAGGAAGACCTTAGAGCAACTTCCACTGCCTAAAGGGGTGACAAGAAATCTGGAGAGGGGCTTTTGACAAGGGCCTGTAGGGACAGGACAAGGGGGAATGGCTTTAAACGGACAGAGGGGAGATTGAGACGAGACATTAGGGAGAAATTCTTCCCTGGGAGGGTGCTGAGGCCCTGGCACAGGGTGCCCAGAGAAGCTGTGGCTGCCCCATCCCTGGCAGTGTTCAAGGCCAGGTTGGATGGGGCCTGGGGCAACCTGGTCTAGTGAAAGGTGTCCCTGCCTGTGGCAGGGCGTTGGAACTGGTCCCTTCCAACCCAGACCAGTCTGGGATTCTACATCTCCCATGAGGCAAAGGCTGAGAACTGGGAAAGGAGACAGAACCCATCAGGAAACACTGAGGCAAGAAACCAGGAGGCCAGGGAAAAGATTACACGACTAGAAACTTGTAAATGACTTTTCCAGCATCACGGGGGTGCGGACATCACAGTGCCGCCATGTACATACAATTGCGTTCTTCACTCGCTCTCTATCCAGCTTCAAGAACTCCTGCAGCGTCAGCTTAGACAGATCTTTCTGAAGGGAGATGAAGGCGCAGCGCGGAGAGTGCTTCTTGTGCTCCTCGCTGAAAGGAGCAAAGAGAAGACCAGGAAAACCAAAGGGCAGCAGCTCACAACAGGGCACACGCCACCATTCCCCACCCCGCAACAGGCACCTCGGGAGCCCAGCTCTACCCCGCGGGGGAAGGGGACGGGGCCGCCCGCAGCACTCACAGCGGGTCATCGTCGGGCTCCCAGCCCTCCAGCTCCTTGAAGCAGAAGAAGCACTGCACCACGTCGGGGCCGTTCTCGCTGGGGCAGTGCACGAAACCTGCCGCCGCCATCTGCGAGCGGAAGCAGGGCGGGAGGAGCCATCAGCCCCCACCGCCGCAGCCCTGCCGCAGCCCCGCTCCGCTCCGCTCCCCCCGCCGGGCTCACCCGCTCTGGCGTGCAGGCGCAGCCCTCCACGAAGGGCCAATTGCGGAAGGTGGCGGCGCGGGTGCAGACGAGGTAGGAGCGCCATTCCTCAGACATCTGCAGCTCCTCGGCCACCATCGCGCCGTTCAAATGGCGGCGGGCAGGCGCGCGGGGCAGGCCGGGAGCGGCTGTTGGGCGCGGGGCACGCCGGGAGCTGTAGTCCCGGCGCTGAGGTGGCGGCCGCGGGCCCGCCCTGCGCTGCCGGCTGAGGGCAGCGCCCCGCAGCCCCCGGGAGCCACCCTGCGGTGCGAGCCCTGCTCCCCAGCACCGCCCTTCCGGCCGTGCAGAGGGGTGAGCCCCGCCGGACACAGCGCTGCTGGCAAGGGCAGGCAAGAAGCAACCTTGTAATTCCTGAGGAGCCTGAGGTGTGAGGCTCCAGCGTTTAAGAGGGTCGTGGAGCTGTTGGAGAGAGCCCAGAGGAGGCCATGGAGATGCTCTGAGGGCTGGAGCAGCTCTGCTCTGGAGACAGGCTGAGAGAGAGGGGCTGGATCAGCCTAGAGAAGAGAAGGCTCCTTAAGGGGAGAGCTTAGAGCAGCTTCCAGTGCCTAAAGGGGCTACAGGAAACCTGGAGAGGGGCTTCGGACAGGACAAGGGGAATGGCTTTAACCTGACAGAGGGGAGATTGAGATGAGACATTAGGAAGAAATTCTTCCCTGTGAGGGTGGTGAGGCCCTGGCACAGGGTGCCCAGAGAAGCTGTGGCTGCCCCATCCCTGGCAGTGTTCAAGGCCAGGTTGGATGGGGCTTGGAGCAACCTGCTCCAGTGGAAGGTGTCCCACAACTGGATGAGCTTTAAGGTCCCTTCTAGCCCGAACCAGTCTGGGATTCCATGATATAGTGTGAGCCAGTTGGGAAAGGGATGCTCTAAAGCCTCCAGCACAAGTCCATCAGGGAAGAGGACAAATTTGCCAGTTTGACCTTTTTTTCCTGTTTTTTTACATTCCATAAGAAGCTGCCCTGGGTTTCCACACTGACAGAGCTGGCAGAGGAGCACAGCAGGAAGGGTCCTGCTAGGCAGGACCCGCACAGAGCTGCTCCCACTCCCCCGTGGCGGTGACCGCCTGTTGTTGGCACAGAGCGCTGCTCTCCCCTCCCGCGGGCAGCAGGAGCGGCTGAGCTCACTGTCTCTGCCTGGAGAAGGAAGCGGGACCTGGCAATCTGGCTCCCAGCCACGGGGGCAAGAGGCAGCTGGTTCTGCGGGGAAGAAGCAGCTAGTCATCCATCACAGCAGCAGGGGCTGGGTTTCCTGCGCGGTCCAACGTGGCAGGCAGTGTTTGCTCAGAGATACCTCCTCCAGATTATCTCCTCCCAGGTTACCTCTGCGGCAAGCTGATGTGAGGACAGGAGTCAGAGATGAGGGATAAAGACATCTGAGCTCAACTGCTCCCCAGGAGCTCATCCTTACAAGCAGGTGGGGCTGTGAAGAAGCACATCCTTACACCACAGGTGGCAACAAACAGACCAAACTCCTGCTTCTTCCCCCAGACTGAATCTAACCTGAAAAGAAGCATTCGGCACCTATGCGGGCAGCCTCAGGACTCTCTGGGAAGAGACTTCTCTTTCAAAGTAAACTGCAAAGTATGACTCCTACAAATTTACTGACAACTATGCAGCATGATCCCAGTATTTACCCAGCTCAGACACTGTAGATCAATGGGCATGATAAAGCTGACCACAGTAGGCAGCTTCCTGGTTGTGAAGTATCAAAGCTCACACGAGCACATGGGAAGGTTCAGGCTTTGCTGCCTTACTAGGACAGGGTGAGGTCCCACCTTTATTCTGCAGGAAAACTTTGTTCTGCTAAACTGGGATGTGTTTGGCAATTGTAATCGCTGCTACCGTCGCTGTGCAGCTCAGGGAAGCGTGGAGTAATTGTGTCCTTAAGCGGGGTGGATGCTGACTTCATCAATCACAGCTAACATAACTCATCATGCTGCTCTCCACAGCCTGACATGGAGGGAAGCAGAGGGCTGAGAGCACACAATTTGTTTCCCCATGTGCCTTGGGAGAACCTCATCCGTTGCATTGAAAACCAGCTGCACGTGACTGTTCAAGCAGTGTGGCCTCAAGCTGCTAAGCATTATTCATTAGTCAGCATCCTGGGGAAGAAATGTTCTCCTGAGAGGAGGCTGGAAGTGGTCCCTGTGCAGCCACAAACGACATCTGGAGCTGCAGCAGCTATCTTACAGCTACTCCAAAGGCTGCCTAATCCTGGTGCCGACCTCGTGAGGGCAGGCATTGCTCTCTGGCAAGGCTGGGTGTTTCCCCAGGGCTGCCAGCTCCTATCAGATCACACACCTGACTTCACATGCTGCCAGTTACCAGCCTGGCCTCAGCCTCCTGTCCTCAGAAGCCTCTTGTTGGAAGCGGGGGCTGAATTCCTGCTCCCTGAACAGTGCCTCTGTGCTTACCCATACAGCCAGCAGAGCAGAAGAAATCACCTCTTACAGACAGTGTGAGTTGCTGAGAGGAGGTAACACACAGATACCACACCAGTGTCCTACACCAGTGAGGTAGACTTCACCAGTGTCCTTCAGTCCTGGTTTGCTGGGATCCCTTTGCAAGTCTTCTTGGGTCACAGCTATTCAGCTTCACCCAGACCATCAGCAAAGTGATTCACTAGGATCAACAGGGAAGGATCTCACAGTAAGCAATTCAAAGGCATGCCCCATTTTCACAGGCAGCGCTAAGGAACAAGGTATGCAGTTTACAAAAGCACGTAAGATAACACTAAGGGATCAAAACTTAAGCCTACGGCCCCAGGAGTGTGGGATATAACAGGTATAGCCTTTAACTGGCCAATTTCCCAAGAAATACAAGCGAATTAGCAGGAATCCCAGTGCTGTTCTTACACCTTCTCTACTTGGCATTTTCCCTCTGAGAGACAAAGCCACGGAGGTATTAGCATAGAACAAGCAACTGCTCAAAATCTTCATGGCCACCTTTAAGAACATGATACAGAACATCACGTTCATCTCATCTTCTTCAGACTTTATCTCCTCCTCCTGGCTAGCAAGGAAACACCCTGCTGGGGCCTGCACGTGTGTGACTTCTGTGTGGGTGCCCAGTAAAGGAATAAAGGGTTTCTTGCTATCTGCTGCCCATACACAGGCTTTGCATCCTCGAGTTTGCCATATTTTAGTGAAATAAGCTGATGGAGACACAGCTTAACAAGCAGCATGACTACAGGTAGGATTTTCCAAGGGAAGGGCTTTAATTCCATTCATAAAGACAGATACTTTTTTCCTTCCAAGCACAGCTAACTCAAACATCAGTAACACTGAACTTCACACAGTCATAAAGCAGGCAGAAATGTGCACAGATGTTAGGGCACGTAACACTTGGATGGGTTCCTTTCCCCTCCCACTAACACTGTTTTTGTTTTGGTGATGATGTACATAGGCTACACAAAACCACACTTCGTGTGTCTGTCTCTGCTGTTACCAAAATGAAGACTTCATTAAGGCAACTACTACTACAGGCAGGTATACACAATGGATTAAGGATAAAGAAGTCACATTTCTTGTGCAGATCTCTGTAAGGCTTGATGTGGAAGGATCAGAACAGCGAATGTGAATCGTACTGAAAACGCACAGGCTGACCTTTGGTCAGGCAGCACACTGCCTGCTTGCTGTTCATCTGCAATAAAAGTCAGGGAGAGAGAGAAGCTGCTAAACTGTAAAAGGACTAATCCCCACTACCACAGAAACTGTTTCGGGTTTGTGTTCTTTTAATTCTTGCTTCTTCCTATTTATTCTTTGCTCTTCTCTTATACTTACAGCCATGAAATCCCAGCCAAGATGCTTCCAGAAACTGGAACTGGCCTACCTCTACCCTTCCCTCCCTCCAAGCTGCAGATTGCTTCTACAAACCAGAGCCTGCATTTCAGCCGTCACCACTGATTTCTGTTCTGGGTTTCTTCTCACCAGAGCATCTGTAGCAGGAGGAGGTGGGTGCTGGAGCTGCAAGGCTGGCTCTGTGGTTAGAGGTGTGCCCAAGGGGCTGATGTGCAGCAAAACCCGCTTGACATCTTGTTCTGAACACCAAACACTGGCACTACAAAAACTTCACAGTGAGCACAGGGCCAACAAGGGAAAAGGAAAGGAAGGCAGTCGTGAAGGAGTGGGAGACACACACCTCACAGAGCCTCACACTGGGGAAGAACAGGACTTCACAGCTCTTCATTATTCCTAAAGCATGGTTCCAGCACTGCTGTTCTGGCAAGTGCAGAGCTTTCCTAAAGAGCGCTTCCAGGTAAGGGCACCAGGAACTTGCTTCCCTTCACGGATTCAAGACACGGTTCCTAACAAAGCAATCAAATCACAGAAACACCGGATGAGTTAAGTTCAGACGTTCATTTCCCATAAACAAACCCCAAAAACCTGTGGCTATTTTTGGGCAGGTTTCAAAATTTGACACCCTCTGAAGTGACAACCGTTTTTTGTTTGGGGTTTTCTGTTTGACAACGAGGCTTTCCAAAATAAGAGCGGCACAAAAACTCCCCATAAAGAATTTCAGTCTTCCAGTGGTTTCAGCAGGTCCCGGTTGGCATTTCCAGGCCTGTCCCCTCGGAGCAATAGGAACAAATCCTCTTTTTGCAGTTTTATCACACAACACGGTTGACATTCAACGTCCTAGGGATAAAGGCGTCGGTGTGCTCCAGCTCTCACATGGCAGCCAACATCCTCCACTGAAAGCCGTGGCAGTTCTTTGCTTGACAGACTGGGCTTTCCGCAGCCCCCCGACACGGATCAGCGCCGCAGCCTGAGAAAGAAGGCGTGCTTGCACTCCTTGCTGTCCAAGGGGTAGTATTTGTCATAAAAATCCAAAATGTACTCTTCAGTCTTAAATCCAAACTTCTGGTAGAGCAGCATAGCAGGGTTGCTTGCAGAGACGTGAAGGGTTACGTCTTTGCCCATGCAGGTCTGCCAAGGGAGGAGAAGGGGGAGAAAAGAAAGAAGTATCACAGCAACAGAATGAGACAGCCTCTGGGGGAATGCGGAGGTGAAGAGATTCATCAGTTCAGGTATTCAGGTTACTGAGGAAACGTGAGAAAACTGCAGGCCCCAACACAGAAGTTACCACACACAGCAACAGCAGAGGGAGCGCTGCTGTTCCTCCGCTCCTTTGTTTCTGGGAAATGTGGAATCCTCGACGATGAAAGCAGGCATTTGGATTATAATTTGTCAGCTTTCCATTGTCAATTGCTAAGTGATTGTTAATTAAAAGCAACCTCAGTGCACAGCAAAGGTCTCTAATACTTATTAACAATGGCCTGAAGAAAAGGCAAAACATGCCAGAGGATCAGGTGCCCCACTCCTCCCTGTCAACAGAGCCGAGCTCTGGGACCAGCACACCTCTGGGCCGTCACGCTGGAATTCCTGTCTATCCCACCCAGCTCCTCTCCCATCCTTCAGGGCACAGCACTCCTGAGAAGGCAGGGAACTCAGTTCAGACAGCAAATGGCACAGCTAAAGTTACCTAGAAGATCCCAGATTACTCTAACCAGCAGCTCTCTGATAAAGATGCTGATATAATAAAGCTTTCCTGCTTTCATCTAGTGTTTTAATAGCATTCTGTGTACACTATTGTCTACGTGGGAACAGCACCACCCCTTAGGAAATTTCCAAGGTAGATCGTTTAAAGGGAAAGCTCTCATAGGGATTAATGGGGGGAATATAATCAGGAGGCCTTTTTGGGGAAGGGAAGTTGGAATGAGATCATTAAGAAGATGCAGTCTGGTTCTCTGGGCCACATGCATTAGAGGGTAACTTCTTACAACAAACTCATCATCAAGGCACCATTTACATCAACACATTTCCTATTAGATTATGCTGTTCCTAAGAATTCATCCCCAAACTCAGCACACTGATCCACTGATCTGGTCATAGAAACTGTTAGGTTAGAAAAGCCCTTCAAGATCATCCAGTCCAACTGTTCCCCAGCACTGCCAAGGCCACCACTAACCCATGGCACTGAGGGCCTCGTCTACATGGTTTGTGAACACTTCCATGGACGGTGATTCCAGCACTGCCCTGGGCAGCCTGTTCCAATGCCTGACTGCCCTTTGGGGAAGGAGTTGTTCCCGATATCCAGCCTAAACCTCCCCTGGTGCAGCTGGAGGCCGTTTCCTCTTGTCGTGTCCCTTGTTCCTTGGGAGAGGAGACTGACCCCCACCTCACTACAACATCCTTTCAGGTATTCAGAGAATCACCCTTAATCCCAACAGTGTATGACAGTGACTCTTGCTACAGAGAGCAGACCCCAGTGTTAGCCCAAGCAGGCTGCGAAGCATCACCTGCAATCTGGGGGTCAAGGAACAAATGGTCAGAAGAACCATTTCTTCTCCTCCATGATTAAAAGCCTTCTACCACTGACAAACAGTTCACAATGGAAAAATAAACCTAGTGTGAGCCGAACATACAATGGTGATCTCTCATTGCGAGTGAGCCTCGTCAGCCTCAAACCTGCCTGGCCCTCTCCTCAACATAGAATAGTTAGGGCTGGAAAGGACCTGAAGATCATCGAGGTCCAACCCCTCTGGCAACTTTATGCTATGTACCTGCAAGCAGAATTGCGTTAATTGGCTGTGATATACCCTACAAAAAGCTGTGATGATTTTCTGTAGCTCGCTTGCCAACACATCCCAACTCTGCTGGAGAGACGTGATCCAGCTGCTGGATCCCTGCAAACCTTGGCACACTGCTTGCGCCTGTTCTCACCAAGTGCTGACATCTCACATCAACAGACGACAGTTGAGGGAGATTTACTTAAACACTTTACACAGAGATGCTTGGGAAACTGAAGGGGTGAATTTAAAGCAGATTGGTTCATGCCCTGCATCGACACATAGAGCAAAGAGAGGTGGACACTACAGAGAGATGTGTAAGAGTTACCCTCAGGTGGCCCAGAAGAGCCACCCTCAGTGGAATATGCTTTTCCAAGGTACAGATCACTGTTCCCAAGGCTCTACCGGCACTCTCTACCTCTCTCCAGCCAAATGAGCACGAGGAAAAACAGTTTGAATGGCGAGTTTATGCTAGTGCAGCTCATCTGGAGTAAAACAAGTTAAGAAATGTTTCGTATCGGCAGCTCTGCCAAGACTATTCAGGGAGTGGTGAAGCTGTGGGTCCTGAAGAGGCACAGTTTGGCTGCAAACAGGACATATGTCTGCATCCTTACTCAGAATTAAGCTGGATTTCCTGCTATTTAATTCAGTAAAGTGACTGGAATTAAGGCCGCCTGAATAACAGTATTCACACAGAGATTTAATGAAGTTTAACTACTTTAATTCCACCTGTTTAGTGAGCTCCAACTAATTTTCCCAAGTATCCCATGGAACAAAGCCCAGTACAAGCTAGTTTGAACAAATTTGAATGAGGTTGCGAACACTTATTCTTTATCTTCAATGCAGCTGGATTTGAACCAGGGTATTGAAAGCGAAAGAGAATGATTATGATCAGTAAGTGATTTAATGCAACGGCCCTGGTCACGGAATAAACATCCACGTGCAGCCAAGAAAGCTGCAATAGCTTCTAACTGAACCTCCCCATATGATCACATTTTCTCCCTTAAGCCCCAAATTTATGGTATTACTGTTATGAGAACTGTTGAGCACTGAAGAACACAAAGCTAATCCCAACAGTCAAAGCCTGCAGCATCTCACTAGCTCCCAGGACCTGACCTGTATGGTTATTCTATTAAATACATTGTAGTTTCTATTTTGAAGTGATTTCTCCCCATAGGACATGGGCTGCTGACAATGTATGTGATGTAAGCAGAAGAAGGGCAAGGGGAAGAGCCAGAAGGGAAGAACACAACACTACTTACTCTAATATTTGCATGTGTGCACACAAGGAAGGAGGGAGAGCCAGTTCTTTAGCAGAAACATGGGACTTTTTCATTACCTGAATAAGGTGGTAAATCATGAAGGTTGCAATCCCAGCCCTTCTCCACTCAGGGTGAACAAACAGAAAAGAGATGTAAGCTTCATTGTATTTCACATCTGGCACCATAAAGCCAAAGGCAATGATCACTTTCTTGTAAAGGACGACAACACTGAAGTCTGGGTACTGCAGGCATTCTGACAAATCGATTCCTATGGAGAGAGAAACAGCAGATGGAAGCATTGCAAATGAAAAGTGTCACACCTGCATGGAAATTCAGGGGCATAAGGCCTTTTAGAAACATTCACTTGATCCCTTCCCTTCACCTTAATTTCAAAGCACTGATATTGAGAGATGCTTCAGCAAAACACACAGACAAAATGAGACCTGCTTACTAGTGGGGATTCTTGCACAGAGAAATGAAACAGAGCTGATTTTCCTCCCAAACGACTCGAGGAGGAAACTAACAACTCGAAAGCACCTTCTCTCAAACAGTATGGCTTAAAATAAAGATCACACGATCTCAGCATCCAGCTCATCTTCCTTGGTTTGTATTGTGAGCTGTATCAGCAGGCTCTGCTAAGCACTCAGCTCTAAATATGCATGTGGATAAAGGTACTGGCATGTGCAAATGTTTGCTGGATTGGGTCCTAGCAAGCTTGTGCCTCTTGCCTGGGGCTCTTAAGGGCTGCAGTAAGATTAATGATAGGGGTTTGGTTCTCCATTTCACCTGGGCTGGGCCAGCACCAGGTTGATGTACACCACTCCTATGCCAGCTGCCAAGGACCTGCCTGCAGACAAGCAAAGGGGGCTGGTTTAGAGTGCATCTGCCTGATGCACCATCCTGGTCCTCCTGCAAACTCTCTCCAGATGCAGCAGACATGAAACTGGGCTTCAGCTTTGGTAGCACAACTGCCTAAGGTAACCTGGCCTTGATCTTCTGCTGCCTCCTGTTGCGCACACTCAGCTGTTTGTGGAGCTGCACTGTGAACCTGACCACAGCTTTCTCTGCTATCAGAATAGATAGCAGCCTGGCAGCACTCACACAGCATGTCAAGGCCAAGCAGTGCAGTTCAAGGCACAGAAGACTGCTCTGTAATTTGTGTGGACAGGCCCTAAATGAGGTGCAATACATAGCAGAGCTGCTCCAAGAATGTTAGTTTCAGCCTCAAATTGGCCATCACAGATCTATTTGGGATAACAAAGCAGCACAGTGTGTTTTCCTGTAATGTTTATTATCACTCCTGATGAGATGCAAGACTCCATAAGGCACCAGGCACAAATAAGGGAGTAAGCTGGGAGAAGTGAGTGGGAGGAATCGATTGGCAATAGGGAGCCACGTTAATTATCTCAAGGCTGCAATTGACTGTGAAGTGCCTCACAGCATGTCTGAACAGGAACCCTGCATTGCCCTGAGCACGCTGGCGTCTATGGAATGGTGCCGTCCCCTCAGCACGCAGTTATTCCTGTCAGAAGATGCTTAGCTCAGTATGGTTTACCACTTGTCTGCTGGGGAGATGTTTCCCGTTAGGGCATGAAGGCACAAGATACCGTGAGAGACAAGGGGGAATCTTGCTTCACATCAGCTCATTTGCAGTAACTACCTGCAAACTTGTTTCTGCCTTGTGAGAAACAAGAGCAGCTCTGACAGGAAGGATTAGGACAGGCGGAAGGACTGAGGCCTGGGCTCACCACACCTGGTGAAGCACCCAAAACTTAAGAAATCAGTCAATTACAGCATCGCTTTTAGAAGGCAACTGAGCACACCTAAGGAGCCATTTACTGACCATAGCATCCCCAAGCACACATGCTTTGCATGGCTAAACTTAGGTGGAATTACAGCTACTTCTCTGAACAGTGCTTTCTGCATATCCCACCCCCCTCATTTGTACCAGCCCCTAGTGGAGCTAAACCCTTTGTATCAACAAAGGCACTGTGCTTTATCTCCTGATGTATCAACCTCCTTGCTCACCTCTCCTGCTAAAACACAACCAAGGTGCAACAAATCATGTAATCCCAGCCTCAGAGAACGTACACCATGGAAGAGATCCCGATTCCCGTTTGAAGGCCGATGGGAGTGCCAGCTTCTGATTTACTGATGAACAGTTCACAGTCAGGTGGAACACACCCACGCTTCTTACATGAAATAAAACAGGGTGAGTCCTGAAGAACTTAATGAAGGTGCAACCCAACTTGGCCAGAACTTCAAATGCATTATCAGAAGAGGAGAGACTGTGACAAAGGGGTTCAGCCTCTGTTGGGACTGCAAGCGAGCTCCAAAAAACTTGTGAAAGGGAAGGTACTCCTCCTTTTCTCCCCCACAATGGTACAGTTTGGGCAGTGAGTAGCACAAAGAGCACCCATCCTGACTGCAGCAGGAGCACTGCTGAACTACAAGCCCTGTTGAATCACTATCTGCTGAATCAAAACACAGAGCAAACAGTTACTTGGAAGAAAGGTGTGTACTGTTTGTACTGGGCTTTTCTAATTAGACTGCCATGCTGTTTGCTGATCACAAGCTGATCCATGCAGTACATGAACATCACCATTATTATTTCAGGAGTAAAGACTACAGCCTCATAACTGCCCCCATAAAGGGCAGACGCTGTCCCCAAAGAGCCTAAGTTCAAGAAGACACCCAAAAATCGATACCCAAGCTTTCCCTTACCTTGCAAATACTGAGGCTTGAAGAAATAAAGGACACCACAGTAAAGCTTGCGGTTTGAAGTGTAATTCCTAAATTTCATTCCAACATACCCAGCTTATGGCTGCTAGGAAGAAACTTTCTCATGAAGCTAATGAGCAGTAGATCTCTGGTATAAAACAGCCCCAATTGTTTCACTGGATGCCTAGTTTTCCCAACTGACTACTCCTATTGCCATCAACAGTGTTACCCAAAACTATCTATTTCTTTAAGCAGTGTGCTAATTCTGGCCTAATTGCCCAGTTCTAAATGATCTCAAGAGACAAAGACACCAAGCCCATGTCTCCATCTCAGCTGCATTCCTAGGACATCAGATAATGGTTTTCTAAGAACGGAGCCAGACACCAACTGAAGCAAAAATGAGCCCAAGAATACTCCTTTTTGGAACAAAACCACTTCCTTCTTTGAAAACCAAGCACTGAAGCAATCTTACCAGGCCAGAAGAATTCATGGCACATGGAGTTTATAGTGGGGATGTGATTAGGGCGAACGTAGCAGTAATCGACGGGTGCTTCTGGCTCAGCCTTCCAGTTGAGATCATTCCTGTGCGGATACGCCCGGATTTCTGCCAGCAGCTGGAGTTTTGGGGGCTTTGTCTCATAATCACGCCTGCCAGTAACACGGAAAGCAAACACAAAACATGAGTGAGCAACAGTAACTGCCGCTGAATGGGTTCTGCCCATGAAATACTTCCTGACACGCTCAACTAGGAACAAAAGAACAGATTCTTCGTTCAACTGGGAAAACAGCACCCAGCTCAGCAAAACCGCCCTTGTGTCAGAGGCCAGGACATGTTCTGGATTGCAGCAAGCCAAGCCAGCCTCCCCTAACAGGCAGGAGCAAGGAAATCATGGTTCTGACCCAAAAGCAGGTGCAACTTGCACTGCAAGACTTCCGTGACTCCCTCTTTGCCCTGCATCTGTTCTCTCTTGGAGATTCCCCTTCCCAGCGCACAGCCAGCTCAAATCCTCAGCTAACCCAACCACTATCCCTTCAGGGTTACGACTGGCTCTATATGGATGAGCAAGGAGCACTGGCCAGGGTGTCCCCTCTGCGGACTGTTGGTTCATAAGCCAAGAGCAAATTCAGACTCAACCTCTGACCAACTGTACCTGATGTAAGGTTTCAGCACACGGGATGTGTAAGGACTGACGATGCTGTGGTCTGTCAGCAGGTCCTCTGAGCCTACCAGTCGATACAGGAACTTTGTGGTCTGCTGTCGATAGCCCTTCATGGCAGGCAGCATTGTCTGTATGTACAAAAACAATGCAGAACATCTCAGGAATATCAGTCAATGACTTAACATAGGGGAATCACATCAACAGAGGGGGTATAAGGGCCTCTCAATGTGACCAGATGGACTGGAGCCACAGCATGATGGTCCCACCTCAAGAGGACTATGCTTGGCACTCTTGGATTCAGCACCCAAACCTATGAGCCACACACATCACTCAGAAAGGCACTGCAAGTGATCTTCCTCCTATATCACATGAAAGATCAACTGCTTATTTGAGTGCTTCCAAGCCTCCACCATCAGTGTTTGGGCAGGGCTGGAGTACAAATACATAGACATTTGTGGTGCTGACACTGACAGACAGCTGTGCTGTACGAGCACGTCCCAGGAAGAAAAGGGCTTGTGACAGCATTGGTGGGGACACAGCCCCAGGTCAAAATGACTCTTGTTCATAACCCTTTTCACTTTGGGAGTCAGATAACCTCAAGGTGACACTGTCAGCTGTCAGTGCCAAAAGGTCACTTAGATTTAGAAATGCTCACCTGGTATCTGTCCAAGATCCTGAAGTCCTGGCTAGTAGTTCTGTATGTTGCTTGCCCTAGTGGGGACCTGGAAACACCTCCTTCTTTGGCTCCATAAATCCCATCAACCAAGAGCAACGCAGCGTTCACAACCTGGTCCAAGTCAAAGAGTGGCAGCCCTCTTTCCCTCTTGGCCTGCCTGACTAACAGCTTGCGCCTCAGTCTCCGGGCCTCCGGGGTCATGCTCATGGCATTGGGACAGGCTTCCAGTCTCTTCAGCAGCAGCTTTTCCTCATAGATGCTAACAGAGGTGTGCTTGGGAGCTCTGGGTTTAGCATCCTTCTCCAGCTGCGGCTTCCTCTTGTCTCGTCCCCTCACCTGCAGCGATGAGTTTGACTCTTCAGGATCTTCACTGTCACCTTCCATCCTCTCTGTTTTCTCTTCCTCACTCTCCACCTCTTGCTTGATTTGTTCAACTGTCTTCACTTTTTTCCTACTTGCTATCACAGTGCCAGCACTGCCTGTCCCATTGGGAGGGGGCACGTACTCTATTCCCGGGTCTATGACTCCATCTCCTTCCATCTCCTCATCATCTATTCAATAGAGAAAAATAACCCTGGTTAAAAATGTAAATATCAAAGCCCCATTTCAAAAAGGCTGTCACAGGACATCTCACAGAATGGTTAGGGCTGGACCTTAAAGAGCACCTATTTCCTCTCTACTAAGGAGAAACAATGCAGGTTTACTCAACACACTCCACATGTAGTAGTATATGTACAAGTATATGTAGGTCTTACATACTTCTGGCCCTCCTGATTTTGGACAGGAGAAACCATCGGGAGTCCAATTTCAGGACACCTCCTCCTAAGGTGTCTTGCAGTTTGGCATCTGAAAACATAGCACTCCTGAGCTGCAAGCTCAGGCTCTCGGACAAACGTTGAATTGCTGACAGTTCCTGAAGACTGGGGATCAAATGGTCCAGCTGGTGAGATGTATCTTCAGTGAGCATAACCTGGAGAAGTTCTGCTTAATCTGAGGGAACGATTAGAAGTTACTGAAACACAGGATTTGTCCCTCTACAGAACCTGACTATTCTTCCTTCCATTCATCCTTCCATCCGTCACTTCCACAAAGAAGTGCTTTATTCTCTACTCTACCAACTAGATTGAGGTCTGGCTCCTTAAGGAACTAACAGCATTCAGCCTGCATCACTGCTTTGCAACTCAACTAGAATCCAACATCTGTTAATTGGGATGCTCGAACTTATAACACTACTGGAACTACTGCCATGAGAATAACATTTCTGCCATTGAAAACCATTACAGACAAAAACAGAGTTGCTTTCTAACAGTGTAATCTGTGTTGCAGCAAAATGCTTCTGCTGAGTGATGCAGCAGCTGCTAGGTGAAATCTTCTACCACTGTTTAGTCAGGATCCCTCAGAAGACAATAATGGTTGTTTCTTTTGTCCTTAGAAGCTGGCAATAAAGCCATGGAAAATTAATCGAGGGTTACATGCAGCCAAGACAAACAGACTATTACCAGTTACTTCCCATCTTATCTTGAAGAGATCCTGCAGCTCATCCTAAGTTACCTTTTTTTAACATCTTCCTAAACAACTACATGTGACCCCCAACCAAAGAGGGATGTGGAGCTGCTGGAACAAGTTCAGAGTAAGGATGGTGTGGCCCTGGCACAGGGTGCCCAGAGAAGCTGTGGCTGCCCCGTCCCTGGCAGTGTTCAAGGCCAGGTTGGATACAGGGGCTTGGAGCAACCTGCTCTAGTGGAAGGTGTCCCTTCCTGTGGCAGGGGGTTGGAACTGGATGAGCTTTAATGTCCCTTCCAACACAAACCAGCCTGGGATTCTACTATGATTATTAAACTAAACCCAAAGCATCTCTTACCGTGAAACAGAGCCTGTGGTGGCATGACATCTGGGATCAGATCTGCTTCTGAGAGAAGGCTGGGAGTCGCTGAATGCGAGGCCGGGGTGCCAGGAGCGGAGAAGTCCAGAGATGGGGAAGGAGAAGGGCTTGTCAGAGGAGTGCGATCTGAGGAGCTCAAGGAGGAGAAGTCAATCACTTCTCCTTTCTCCAGGACGATATCGGGACGACGGCCTCGACTGGAGAATTTAACTGGAGTGGAAGAAGTGCTCCGGTCCAAAAAGCCGGCTGCCTCCTTCTGGGCTCTCCGAATTTCCTTGGCTTCTTGAGTACGAGATCTCTTCTCCTTCAGCTCCATGGCTGACTCGACTGGATTGCGGCTTACCCGCTTCCTGAGTCCTTCCACCGTAATGATGGGATCCAGAGGCGGCTTGGAAGCTGCTAAAGAAGTAGTTTGCTTATTCTAACAGACAGAGCTCCTGCAACCACTGGATGCATTCTACACAGTCAGAAAAACACATTCACTACAAATCTTAGAGGATGCATTTTCAAGGTAGCCAAGAAATTCACTCTGGGACACACAGGATAAAGCCAATGCACCTCTAAAGCCTCACTAAAGCCCCCATCTTGCTCCTCTGCACAGAAGGGGATTTGCACCTAGTGACATAAGATAAAAAACCCTCCCCAGGTAAAGGGGAGCAGAGAAGTTGTAGATGTCAGCTAAAACAAAACCCCTGCACAAATCTCCAAACCCTGTAAATCACCTACTAACAATGCAAAAGGCTAATAAAATTTAACAGCCTTCTCACACTACAGTATATGCACCATAGTCTCCTTCAGTCTACTGTTAGAGCACAGCAAAACTAAGAAACAGCCCATGCACACAGACACATGGGTTTAAGTAAGCTTTTCTCATGCCTTCCAGCTCTGTCAGCTCTGGCCCAGAGAGGACCCTACACACCATCAGGGAAAGAAGTTACCTTTTGCCTTCAGCGCAGATGCAGACAGCTTCTCTCCTTCAGGTTTCATTGTCGGGGGTTTATTATGAACCAGTTTCCACCATCCAGGTTCTCCAAATTCCTGCGCCCCTGAGCGGAAAAACAAGGGGCTCCCAACAGAGAGACAGCCAGCGACTGTGCTCCACCATGTTGAGGTCTTTTTCCTGTGGTGGGAGAGAGGAAAACAAGTGTTAGGTCCCCACTTGTCAGTCTGCTTTCATCCTGAAGCCTCCTCCTTCACCAAGATGATAACAGTGCAATTATTGTTTTGCGAATGAGCTGCCACACACCAAGCCTACAGAAGAGAGATCCACACTGCTACCAGAGCCCCAGCAGCCAAAGCTGATTATACCCTCACTTATACTCCCCCCAAAAAAACCCTGTGGTTGGTAGGACACATCCCTGGCAGTGTTCAAGGCCAAGTTGGATGGGGCTTGGAGCAACCTGGTCTAGTGGAAAGTGTCCTTGCCTGTGGCAGGGGGTTGGAACTGGATGAGCTTTAAGGTCCCTTCCAACCCAAACCATCCTATAAACAATCTATGTGACTGGCAGCCACAGCTTTTCTGTGCAACCTGTGCCAGGGTCTTACCACCCTCAGAGGGGAGAACTTATTCCTGATGTCTCATCTCAGTCTCCCCTGTCAGGTTAAAGCCATTCCCCCTTGTCCTGTCCCTACAGGCCCTTGTCAAAAACCCCTCTCCAGATTTCTTACGAGCCCCTTTAGGCACTGGAAGCTGCTCTAAGGCGTCCTCAGAGCCTTCTCTTCTCCAGGCTGAACAAGCCCAGCTTTCTAAGCCTTTCACTCTGCAGGACCATGTACTCTACTGGGTATTTGAGCACTTTTTGATCCTCTGAGTGCTGATGAAGATGTTGTTTAGGCAGGAAGTGAAAAGAAATATTAAAAAATTGCCCCTATAGCCAGTAACAGAGGTAACGTCTCAGATACTGGAGAACTGCATTCATGGTGTACAGTCTAAACCCATACTTGCATAGGGTCTCAGGATTCCTTCTTGTCTTTGCACATCACCACTGGGAAAACCATCAGTACCAGGCTAGGGTGGACTGAGCAAGTATTCACTGGTGTCTGAGCACTGCAATTACACATCCTGGGGTACCAACCTTAAAATGTGGGAGATTAAACTCGGGTGCCCCAGATCACAGTCTGGAGTGTTCCAGTAAGTCTGGATAAGCTGTTCTGGATAAGCACATGTTAAACATGCCAAAAAAGCAAAGCATTGAATGCCTCGAACCTCTACACATGGTTCAGCTGTCCCTGTTCCACCAGTGGCTTGTCCAGGAAAGCAGCAAAACTATGTCTGATGCCAATAATCACTTCATCTGAATTTTAGTCAGAGCAAGGAGTGCCCAGTCACCAGGGCAGGTCTCAAAAGGCTGCAGCAAACCCTGCGAGGTGATGGCTCCCTAAGTGAGGGACAAGGGACCTTCAGCTGCCTTCCTGCCAGGATCCCCCTGGCTTCCAGCAGGGACAAGTACTAACATTTATGAGAACAGAGCAAGGAGGCACAGACAAGCAATGAAAGCAAACCAATGAGCCAATCCAGTTAAGGAGAAAGGCCAGAACTTACAAAAGAGAAATCCCTGGGGAGGAAAAGAAGCTGTGAAGTCAGCATAGACCACTAGTCCATCCAGTCCCATGGGCAGGGACACCTTCCACTAGAGCAGGCTGCTCCAAGACCCATCCAACCTGGCCTTGAACACTGCCAGGGATGGAGCAGCCACAGCTTCTCTGGGCATCCTGTGCCAGGGCCTCAGCACCCTCACAGGGAAGAATTTCTTCCTAATGTCTAATCTAAATCTCCCCTCTATCAGTTTAAAGCCATTCCCCATATGCTACCTGAAGGAAGACAAGAATATACGCACTTACATTGCTTTTATGGGACATTCTTGGGGTTGTTTTCTCTCACTATACTATGCTTATTCTTTCCCAGAAGTACCCCTTATGCCTACATTCAGGTTCTCAACGTTAAATCCTTCAAACTCCCCACTAGTGAGGCTCAACAGAGACATCACCAAATTCACCACGATTCTTGTCTATCTGCATAACACGTTTTAATTCCTTTGGCTCACCAACCAGACCTTCAGGAAACACCACATCTTTACCTGTTCCCAAGTAAGAAAGTCCAGTGTTTCTCAATAAAAGCACAAATATCTTCTTTCCATCTGAAGTATCCCTGACGGCCCGTGCCTTCCAGTGACAGATTGTACATCGCCAGCATGACAACCTGGAACAGAAAGCGTTGGACACAAGTGAAAATCGCCCCTGCTTTGTGTTCTGAATGGCCCCCCAGAGCTGCCACACACACACAGATCTTTGCTCCCTCATTTATAACTGACTTTTGCAATATCTCACAGGCAACTCCTGCAATCCATCTTCCTCCCGCTTTCATGCTGCCCATTCTCGTCTTTCTATTGTTAGATGCACATTCCCTCCGAGATTTCTGCATCCCAAGGGAATAACCAGCTGCCTAGTTATGCAGGTTTATACTGAGATCCAAGCTTTTGCAGTGGTTGTATAAATGAATTATATCACAACTGGGGCCTGTACGGAAAAGTCCTTCCAAAAAAGGGTCACAAGTAATCCCACTACCTAATCCATCAGGAACACAGTGACAACAGTCTCTCTAGATACTTACTATTACATTTCAAACTGGACAGACTTTAAACTCTCTGTAAAATTACACATCTGCTTATTGTTCAGGGTATTGAAAGAATTTGGTTTGTCTCCCAGTGATCGTCATTGAACACAATCTATTTACACCTCAATTCATGTGCTTCACAACCAAATTTAGCCAGACCTATTGAACTCCTAAACTAAAGGGCAGGTATAAAAAGTATCACATCTCTTTATGTTAATTCAAGGGGGCCAATTTAAAATTACCCAATTTATTTGAATACAACTAAAATCAGCTAGGATTTAAGCTGACAGAGGGGAGGTTTAGATGAGACATTAGGAAGAAATTCTTCCCTGTGAGGGTGCTGAGGCCCTGGCACAGGGTGCCCAGAGAAGCTGTGGCTACCCCATCCCTGGCAGTGTTCAAGGCCAGGCTGGACACAGGGGCTTGGAGCAACCTGCTCTAGTGGAAGGTGTCCCTGCCTGTGGCAGGGGTTGGAACTGGATGAGCTTTAAGGTCCCTTCCAACGCAAACCAGTCTGGGATTCTATGGTCTTTCAACCATTACACAGCTTTAATGGACACTTTTTCCAGCGGGGACTTACTCTTCACCATCAAAGAAGTTTGAATGTGTTTTTCCCAAGGAAATGGGTTTCCTCACAGTGGGCCATAGCCTTCTGGAATGCATTGCTGAAGATGCCAAAGCGAGGAAATATAGACAGCTTTAATGTCCCCTGTACTCTAGTTCTGCCTTGTAACCCCTTCTAGTTTGATAACTGTTTACCTAGGATTTTGAGGTCTCTTTTTCTGTTTTTTCTTTTTAATTCAGGTGGGACACAGTCTAAGGACTTCACAAACCACTCTCTCCAAATGGCCAAAAATAAGGATTTGTAGAGGCCACATACTATGAAAACCAAATAAATCCAGAAATCACTGTCCCCATTTTTCCTACTTCAGAGAAGTTGATTTGGTGACTTCCCTCAATTTAACATACTTGGAAGCAGCAGCAGCAGCTCTGGCTGCTGGAAGCCTAAGGAGACAGTTCCTTCACTAGTCAATGTTCTTCTTCATCTGTTTTGATTTTGTCCATCCCTTCTTCCCCATGCCACTCCAAAGAGACTGCTCCTCCAGCACCCTGACTGCTCCTCCAGCACCATGACCTGCATCAGCCTACCCAAAGGGTGGTTGCTGATAATAAAATTTGATTGCTCAGGTATTTAAATGACTGAAATACCAAATTTCAGTGAGGACTGTTGCTAGTAAGCAGCTGGGTTGGGGCTTTGTGTTGAGGGAGCTGGCAAGCTTTCTGTTTGTACATTGCTACCTCACTAGTTTTACATTTGCTCATATACACAAAAAGCTGTTCATGCCCTGCAGCCAAACTGCATTCACTTTGCTTTCCCAAACCTGCCTGAAGCCATGAATTCATGAATAACATAAGGGGGAAGAAAAAAAATAAGAACAAGGCATGTGGCTTGTATGATTATCCTGCCATTTACCTGCCAAATGCCCAAGTTCTAATACGCAGACAATCCTTAGCGAATTCATTTCTGAAGCTCATTCACATGTCTCACTGTTACCTATACCTCGATTCTCTTTTTCTAGGTAGCACATACACAACAAACAGCAATTTTACAATGTCCTGTGGTTGTTCTGCCAGCACACACGTTTTACTCACTTGTTGCCACGTTAACCTCAGCCTTTCAAATTGCTCCTTCCCATCTTCTGAGCAATCGGAGCAAGTGAATCTGAAAAAGTTATCTCCTTTGAGGTAGCTGAGCTGTTCTCTCAGTTGACCTAAAATGAAGAGGCAAAAAATCAATTTCTCGATCCTTTTATAGGAAGAAGTGCTCCAGAGGAGATCTGGATTTCCTACATCAGGCAGAAAAGAACTTTTTTCTTCCAGAGTCCAAAGACCCAGACAGTTCACAGGAAGCATCAGAACTCACTATGACGGATTTATTTCACAGCCACAGCAGCCAGCAGTGACCAACTGAAAAACACAGGCATCAAAAAAGGGGCATTCTACTTAACATCTGAATGCAAGTACAAAGCCAAGGATCTCCTTGTTTCTGATGCATTTCTCTTCCCTGCTTCCCCACGATACCCTAGATGTGCCATCCCTGAAGACACTGAAGGCCAGGCTGGATGTGTTTCTGAGCAACCTGATCTAGTTGAAGATGTCCCATTGCAGGGGAGCTGGACTAGAGGAGCTTTGAAGGTCCCTTCTAACACAAACTATTCTATGATTCTACATACGTCAATAAATAGCTGTTTTCCCCCTCTGCTTTAAAAAAATAATAGCTGACCTGTTAAAAACAGTATGTGAGTGCAAAGGCTATCAGAGTAAACACGCATTCTCTTCCATGTCATCTTTCCACACACTGCTATGCGTCTTTACAGCTCTCTCAGACTGAGAGCCAAAAGAACAGCCCAACATTATCAGGAAACATTTTCTCTTTACTGCAGTTGATACGTGAGATCCCAAATCAGCAGAGAACTTCAGCACATGCCTTGCTGTGTAAAGCTAACCCTAACAACCCCACACACCCAAAGGTACAGGTATTAATTTGGTGTTTCTGCATTAGAGCAAAAACCACCACCTGAATCAGGACTTTCTCTAACAGGATGACAACTCCTTTACTGTACAAGGACATCAGATAAAGCATTTGTAATACACAGATGCTCTGCTTTCACAGTGAATCGCAGAACCTGACAATTAGAGTTGGCCTATGTCTGATGGGGGGGGGAAAAAACCCACACTGAGTAGATTAACAACAGTTCCACATGGCAATTAAAGGTAAAAGCAATCATTTGTCTGAGCATGGTGGTGATGTTCACAAGTGACAACTGACACCTGAACAATTAGCAAAGAGAACAGTATTTCCCTTCTCCAGCTCATTTACTTGGCACATTTGTATCTAGTTACCCCTGCTCTGTGACTGGCATTTTCTGCTCTTTGGATTTGTTCCACAGTAACAAGAGAGGAACGCCTTTACAAAATAAAGCAAAATGAGTGTTAAATCAAGTGCTCCAATGCCACTTTTAATGCTCCTTTTATTAATACATTTCAAGTTAGTATCTCCCTTTAACTGCATACCATCTTAATAGTATGATGCTGGTTTCACTACATTAACATCTAAACATTCACTAACACCCCTTGAGAGGAGACTTTTACAACTGTGACTCTTGGCAAACTCTAAGGTGACAAAAAGGACAGCTCTGACCTAACTGCAAGGCAGGTACCTCCTGAAGAGTTCACTATTTCTAGCCATAAATAAGCCAACCAGCAACCAAAAAATAACAAAACCAACCCCAAACCACCACAAACCCCAGCTAGCACGTAGCCATATCCAACTTTTGGAGCTAGTAACAGACCTGATAATCCAGAATTTACAAAGTAAAGTCAGGTCTGTCACGTTCCTAGCTCCTAACAGCATGTATCTTATGTCAAGCAGCAGTAGCAGAGGGATCAAGTTCTGCAGTTTGCTCCAAGTGCCTCCCAGAGTGACCTGCTACAGGCTGGACACACTTCTGTGAAAGCTAGCTTAAATTCACAATATCAGGAAACCATTAAGGTTGAGATTTAGCCATATGCTCTACAGATGTGACAAACTGACCAGAAAAAACACAAAACAAATGAGCAAACAAACCAAAAACAACTAACCCATCCCAAAGCCCTTTTCCCCTACAGAGCTTCACGGCAGGGGTCACTATCTGGGTAAGCAGAGGCCAAGTTGCTGGGCTAAAGTTCCCTAAACACACCACTGGGAAGTCTTTGGAGAGTGTGCATGTTTCTGAAGTCCTACCCTTGTTCTCTACTAATTAAAGACAATCCCATTTCTTTACATGGAATGCCAGCTCTTGACATGCATGCAGTACGTGGGTTGAAGTGCCTAACACACACCGCTGGCTGGCATCAGGCTGGAAGGGCTCCATACAATGCCAAGAGAGCCTTTCTCAGAATAATAGCTGTCTTGTTGGCCCCTTTAGGCACTGGAAGCTGCTCTAAGGTCTCCCTGGAGCCTTCCCTTCTCCAGGCTGAACAAGCCCAGCTCTCTCAGCCTGTCTCCAGAGCAGAGCGGCTTCAGCCCTCAGAGCATCTCCATGGCCTCCTCTGGATTTGCTCCATCAGCTCCACATTCCTCTTGTGCTGTTGCCCAAGACCTGGACACAGGACTGCAGGGGGGGTCTCACCAGAGCAGAGCACAGGGGGAGAATCCCCTCCCTCCAGCTGCTGGTCATGCTCTGGGGATGCAGCCCAGGACACAGCTGGTTTCTGGTCTGCAAGGATACACTGCATAACACTGTTTTCCTCCAATATCAGATGAAATACAGCTAAACAAAGGATGCCCCATAAAACAGGCATGCAGGACACGGTGCAAATAACCACCACAGCAATGCAAGCAATGTGACACAAAACAATGGGCAAGCTTACTTGCTGGTATCCACTTCTGGCACTTCTCACAGTAATAGGACATCTCCTCCATCCAGGACGTGTCACCTTCATCGCTGTTCAGAGAATCCCCGCTCTGGTCGTGTGATAAATCCACTGAGGCCTGGTCCTCAGACTCAACAATCAGGAGAGTCTCCCCTTCCACCTCACCCTCCTCCAGGCCCTCTGAGGTGGAGGTCCTGGTGGCTTCATCATCATGACGGCTCAGCAGCCCACTCATGTGGACATTATTAGCCATCCTAGATGGTGTTTATGGGAAGGAATAACTTCTTGTTACGCATTGACCAGTACACCCACACTGGATGTGCCAGCAAAGTCTCCACAGTCAAAGTGCCAATGACAAAGGAAATGTTCTGTGACCACACTATAGCTTCCGGGAGTAAATTATAACCTATACAAAAAAAAACGGTCTTCCACAGATTACTTCTGCTTGCCGAAATACTTGCAAGTACTCAGATCGCAGTGATCCCCAAACATCTTTAATCAAACCCCTAAGGACTCAGGGCTGTGCCTATGACTGCTGGGACCCTTTTTCAACCAGGGCCTTGTCTCTTTCTTCCATAAGCTGCTTTGTCAAAGCAATCTGCTCTTCCAGGAGGCGAATATTCTCCTTTTTCTGGTGTTGACGCTCAAGATCTTGGAGAACTCCACGGTGCAGCCTCTGCAAACACAAGGGACAGCGTTTATCACAGCCTGTTGGATGCTGAATGTGATTAACTCCCACTCTAACCCCTCCTGCAGGGCTGTTCACCATGCTATGCTGCCTTTGCAAGTCCTCTGCCACCACCTGTAGCCACAGCCACTTAACAGGGTTTGAATGTAAAACTACAGGAGCCAATACACAATACCTATCAGCTAATGGTACTAAACCAAAAAGTGCTTTATTTGACCTCATTTCAGATGGGTGGGCATACCAATTGGTAAAGCTATCAAGCAAACAGATGCTATGCGCCTGTAATTCCCATGCTATGCAAGATGGACATGATCTATAAACCCCTGTTACCTCTGCCCTAAATCTTCACCAACTCAAGCTGATCTCCCCAGAGCTTCTCCCCTGCTTGGAGACAATTCTGTGGCAAAGTGGAAACTATCTTAAGAAAAACTGCCATGTGGCTTCATCTGCTTCTTCCCGCGCATGCCTCAGTCTTAACAAAAGCACAGAATAGTTAGGGCTGGAAGGGGCCTTAACATCATCAAGTTCCAACCCCCAGTACCTTCCAAATGCCTTGTAAACTCTTGCTGCATGGCTGATCAAAGTCCCACAACCTGCTTATGCCAAGCTCGTGAAAAAGCAAAGCACTACAATAAAAAAATATCCCCTTTACCCAAAGTGCTGATTAAAAATGACCTGTGCAGTACAGACCATCAGCTCTCAAATCAGTGGGTAAGCACCCCAATGAGTGTTGAAAGCTCTAAAATCTCAGCTGCTCTTTGCTTTACTCACAGGGTGCCCAGAGAAGCTGTGGCTGCCCCATCCCTGGCAGTGTTCAAGGCCAGGCTGGATGGGGCTTGGAGCAACCTGCTCCAGTGGAAGGTGTCCCTGCCCGCGGTAAGGGGTTTGGAACTGGATGAGCTTTAAGCTCCCTCCTAAACCAGTCTGTGCTTCTATGAAGCCGCCCCACCAAGCCCATCAGCCTCACCCCGGAGCTCCCAACCTCCCAAGGGACCACTTGCCACAGGGAGAGAGCATGGGAAGAGCAAATGCCAGGGCAGGAAATGGCGAGGAAGGCAAAGGTCGTGGACAGCGAAACGCCGGGGGTGAGCTCCGGCAGGGCCCCGCCGTGAGGTAAAGGCCGGGCCGGCCCCACTATGAGCAGCGCCGCAGGCACGGCCGGGCCGCCCACCGCGCTCAGGAGCACGTGCACGTGAGGGCCTGGGGCGTGGCTTAACGGAGAAGGGGGCGTGGTTTACGCGACGGGGCGTGGCTCCACCACACACCTCGGCCCAGGCCGCCAGGTGAGGGGGCGTGGTTATCGCCAAAGGGGCGTGGCCTGGCCTGCGGGTGGACGCGGAGGTGTCCCCGCTTCGTGTCCCCCCCCCACCTACCCTGGGCGGGCCGCGCACTCACCTCCTGCTCCCGCCGCTGCTGGATGTGCACGGCCACCACGGTGGCGGCGGAGAGCAGCACGGAGACGGCCAGCACCGCTCGGGACCTCCGCGACATCGCGGGCGGAGCGCTCCGCTGCCTGCTGCTCGCCGCGGCGGGAAGGCCCGGCGCGGAGCCGGGGGGGGGGGGGTGTGTGAGAGGAGGTGCCCCAGCCGAGCGCCGAGCCAGGCCAGAGCAATCGACCGCCGCTGAGAGGCTGGGCCGAGCGGGGAGGGGGCGGAGCCTCGGCCCGGGGCGGAGCTGGTGGGAGGTGGCAGAACCGGGCGCTCCCGCCGCTCCCGTCGCACGTGGAGAGGCCCCGGCGCTCCGCGGCCTCCCGGTTGGGGCCGAGGGGGTGCCGCGGGGCAGCCCCAGGCCCATGGTGGAAGCAGGTGGCGGCCTGGTGCCGTAGGGCTGAGGCGGCTCCGGGTCGGCGGCCCGTCGGTGGAGACGTGCCTGCTCACGGCAGGGGATGCATCTGGATGGGCGCTTGCAACCCAAACCAGCCCGTGGCTCTGTGCTGTAAGCACACCCAGCCCTCACTCACCGACCCCTGTGCTGCGGGCGGGCCGGCTCCCTCCTCACCGCGCCTTTGGCCATCGATACTGCTATGGGGAAAGAGCCCCCGCGGGCGTGAGGGAGGAGGGCGGCGGTGGCTCCCGATGCCTTTCCTCAGGGGGTGTTTGTGGAGCTTCCTGCCGGCGTGCGCTTGCATTTCCAGTGCGGCTGCAGAGCCGAAAAAACAAACAAAAGGGGAAAGATTTCTTCTGAGTTCAAGAAAGATTCCGGTTATTTTTGTCTTCGCTTTAACTGAGCGGAGACCTCCAGTTCTGCACTTTCCTTGCCCAGAAAACCCACTTTGAACAGATGAAGCAGCTGGAGAAAGCAGCTCTTCAATTGTCTGGTTTCTGCTCATTGTTCAATGTGTGGCCTTAGGCCTCGTGCTTGGCAGTTTTTCGTGCTCTGAAGACAGAATTATTCCTGTCCCCGGGGGTCGTTCCCTGGCACCTCCTCACTGAAGTATCCGAGTGCTTTACAGACAGAGAGGATTTATGTTCCCTGTGCTCCCGTGTGAGGGCAACAGATGGCTATCGTGCATGACTTCGATCCACCACGTTCAGATGCACTTCGGGCGTTGGCTACAGGACTTCAGCCTTTCAGGGCACTCTTACCCTCTAACACATCAAACTTCCCCCTGGCTACTGTGACAGAGGCTCCGGTCATGCTCCCGAGAAGCAGGGAGCTTGTCAGCAGTCACTGTGCTCTGTACCGCAGTCACTGTGCTCTGTACCGCAGTCACTGTGCTCTGTACCGCAGTCACTGTGCTCTGTACTGCAGTCACTGTGCTCTGTACCACCCGAATGAGCACATCAGCGGTGCAGGAGAGTGACTCTTGTGAATGGATCAGACAAAAGGATGGCTGGTGGGGCAGTGGGATGTGCCACGAGGTCTGTAAAACCCTGAAGGAGGTCAGGCAAGACTCATTCGCCATTTCCCACAGTCCAGGGTGGGTTTGTGGAAGTCCTTGCCCCTGGTGCTACAGAAGCTGAATGTAACCTGCGGATACAGAAGGGATCTGCTCAGATTCCTGGAGTGCCCTGGATGTTGGGATGCTGCTCGTGTCTCAGAAGCTCCTCAAAGCACAAGTGACGAGGGAGGTGGGAGGTTTATTGTGAAAGGGGTAGGTTGGTTCCCAATACATTCCTGTACATTTTTCCCTCCGAGCATCTGCCACAGCTCGCTGCCAGGCAGGACGGTGGGGCACGAGGAGCCTCAACCTCAGCAGGTAGCACAGATCCTGTCTCAAAACCAGGCTTGGATGTTTCCAGAGGAGTTACAGAGCAGTGGGTGCTGTGAGGGGATGGTGGGGTTTGCATCCCCAGCCCGGACTGGAAGAGGAAAACCAATCATGTGAAGCTTCTCCCTCCTCATTATAATCTTTTTCATCTTCCTGCTGAATAATCGTGATTAAAATGAAAGACGAAATTAGTGGGAATGATAATATTTCAATTGCGTCTAATAGTTTTGCTCACATCGGTGTGTTTACTGTTATTAAGACTCATGCATAAGTGCTTGTAACACATCCAAGGCTACTGGAGTGCCAAGAACAGAGTTGAGCCAGAGGCAGGCAGATGGGAGCCAGCGCAGCGCCCATGGCTCCGTGGAAGGGCGCAGCTCCCCCCGGCTGGAAGCTGAGAGCCTCTACCCAAGGCTGGCATCTATCACTGAAGGACTAAAACCTCATCTGCGGAACGTTCATGCTGTGCTTCCACAGTCTGCAGTTTTTCCCATGGTAGTTGAGGTGTTCCCCCTTGTCCCCCTTCCTCACGAGGGTTAGGTCTTGCTGAAGCACCCTCAGCACAGGAGGGACATGAAGCTGTTGGAGCAAGCCTGGAGGAGGCCATGGAGATGCTCCAAGGGCTGCTCTGGAGCCAGGCAGAGAGAGCTGGGCTTGTTCAGCCATTGAGAAGAGAAAGCTCCAGGGAAACCTTAGAGCAGCTTCCAGTGCTTGAAGGGGTGATGAGAAATCTGGAGAGGGTCTTTTGACAAGGGCCTGTAGGGACAGGACAAAGGGGAATGGGTTTAAGATGATAGAGGTGAGACATTAGGAAGTTCTTCCCTCCAGCTGCCAGCTCATGGTGAGTCCCACAGCGGCAGAGCGGGTTGTGGCAGTGCAGGCACTGGTCATCCTGATGCAGCCGCCGCGGCCCCACCGTGAACGTCTCTATCAGATTTGGTGGTAGAAGGTGTGCATCACGTTATTGGTATTCAAAACATCGGAAAATGCAGAGAGAAAAATGGAAAACGGGTTAAAGTTTCTGTGTGCCTCCTCTATAATTACAAGGTAGGGTCACTGGGGGCTTCCTTGTGTGCAGAGACTCAAAAAATAGTGTAATTAATGAAATATATGTATTACAAATGCCCTCTTTTGGCCAGGTTACTGGAGGGCAGCATCATCCTGAGATGGAGCAAAGAGAAAACCTGGAGGGAGAGACCTTCCTTTTATTCCCTCGCAAGCAAGGGAAAAGGGAAACTTCCCTTCCCTTTGGCAGGGCAGCCAGCAAAACAGTTGGTTTGGATTTGGATTTCCTGCTTCCAGCGGGGAGGGTGCAGAACCCAGAGGCAGCCGCTATGTGAGAGCTGCTGGTTTTACAGCAGGGCGATGTGCGGTTACAGCTCCGCCAGTCCCCACGCCAGCGGGTCACCTCCAGGTGAATAAACCAAGGTGTGGGCTCTGCCGCGGCCTCGTTTCACCCCGGATGGAGGATCGGGATCCTTCCCCAGCACCCCGGGATGGTGGGAAGTGAGGCGGGACATCTAGATGCTGCCTCCGCTTCCAACA